ATTCCTATTCAGAAAGATCACTGCCTGACAGGTCCTGTGAATAGAAAGTCTGCTTTTCCCGTGAAGACTCTGGCGAGGTAATATTAGCTGGCCTAATTTTACCCGTGCTGTATTTTGAGTGATATAAGGATAAGAAAACCTCAATTGCTGGTGAATGCAAAAACCACTAATTACAGTGATTTTACTTCTCCGTCTCTAAATTGGTGATAATCACTGCGCAGTTATGTTAAAGCGAGGCAAGATAATGACTAAGTAGAATGTACCAGTGAATTCTGTACTGCTGACCTCCGTGTGCTCCTATAGAAGGGAAGCCAACACCTGTCAAAACATGGACTTTGGGGATGGTCTGTGGGCCAGGTGCTGCAGCAGGCTTTGAAAATAAAATGAAGCATCATGGGAAACAAATGACCTCCATCCTCCTGGCTGGGCCCCCTCTAGCTCTATCCTCTGTACGTCCTTCAGTTTTCTCTTTCTAAAATACAAATGTGCTTCTACCCACCACCATCCCTGTCAACAATCCATGCGGTTGCCGATCGAAATGCATTAATGATGCACCAGACCCTGCCCAAAGTGTGGAAGATGCTTCTTCTTCCTAACAGAATTTCCAGTGGGGTTTTAGTGGAGACAGCAGAAGAGAGATTAGAGATAATTATATACTCAAGGGTAGAGGTTAATTGTATAATCATGGATGTAATATCTCTTTTTTCTTCTCCAGCTTGTAGAATACAGTTTGAGCATTAGGTGTACCAGGGTCATTCTCCTACCTCAGGTTCTTTCACTGTCTTCTCTCAGCGTGGTCACTCTCACTCCTCCAGCTAGGAGAGCTCCCTGCAGGTCCCCGCACGTGCCAACCTCTCTCCTCCTGGGCTCGATCCACACCTGCCTCTTTCCCTTGATTACAGTCAGGCTTCTGTACCTGCTGAGTCCACATCCACAGCTTCAATCAATACAGGCCAACAACTTTCTGAAAGAGAACTGCGTCTGCTCTGAACATGCACAGACTTTTTAATCCATATTATTATTTCCCAAGCAACATGGTATAACAACTATTTACATATAATTGATTGTATTGGGTACTGTAGGTCTTCCAAGCTGGTTTAAAGTCCATGGAAGGTTGTGTGTAGGTTCTATGTAAATGCTGTGCCATTTTATGACAGGAATTAGAGCATCCTTGGATGTGAGCACCTACAGGGGCTCCTAGGACCAGGTCCCTGGGATACTGACTGTATTTCCCACTTCTGTTTCCTGCTTGGAGAGCTCACACTTACTGATGGAGACTTTGGACGGATGTCCTCTCTTTTGCAGTATAAGGACCAGGCTCCTTCCCTGCGCCTCCAAAGCATCCTTCCCATTGCCCTGTCCTCCACATGCCGTGCACGGCAGTGCTGTCTCCAGGACTGTTTCTCCTCTGAGGCTGCAAACTGCCCAAGGTTAGAATCTGTGTCTTCCTTACTTTCATCTTCCTAGACCCCAGCTCAGAATTTGGTCAGAAATTTGGTCAGATGTTCAGAAAAGGATGGTTGATATTAAATTGCTTACACAATTGTCTTAACTAATGTAGAGATTAGGAAAGGGAGACACAAGTAGAGGAAGGGTGATTTAATGACAGGAAATAAAAGGGCAGGAATACAGGGAACATAAAGGACAATAGTTTTATTCGGAAGGATGTGGTAGAATTTTCTGAAATAGAAAAAGTCTGAGTAGGCCATTATCTTGGCATGGACAGTGCATTCTGATGTTGCAGAACAAGGAGAAGAAGCCATGTTTGAGTGAGGAGGGATGAAAAAGCCCCTCTCCGTCGGCAGCATGTGGTGCTCCTGTAGGGGGCTCTGACCTGAAACCTTGCCCCAGGATACTCCTGACCACTTCCTCCAGATCCACCAATGCCCTGGGAGAGTCGGGCCCTGGCCCACACCATGTGCCAGCTCCAGAAGTATCTTGTGATTCGTCTAGAAGGGAAGCAGAATGAAAATTAACGCTCATGCTGAAGACTTTCAGCTCTTGAAGATGATGCCCCAGAGGGGCAGGGAAGGTTTCTGCTCCCCTGTGTTCCTGAGTGAGGTGTGGACGACACCTTCCCCACTCAGAGAGCCTAACTTGCTCGCTTGTCATTTTGAGTCCTTATGTTGTTGTTGAAGGGAGGGCTTTGACTTCACAGGCACAAAAACAGCAGACTCCACCAGGCCCTGGCTTGGCATCAGTTCCAGAGCCAGAGCGGGACCTGCTGAACGCTGTCCCCAGCTTCTCACATGCATCGGGCAACCAGGTGCGCCCACGCTTCCTGCACAGGGCAGGCCTGGCTGGTCCTCCCTGGTGGGCAATGCTGGTAGGAAGCTGCCCTAGGTGACAGGAGGTTGTCTGGCATTCCACTAACCATGCAAAAATGCAAAACCTGTGGACATTCATGTAAAAGTCTTTCATCTATATTCCCACACCAAGTCTGAGTTCCTCGTTATTTCTGAATAGAGATGTCTGTTTACCTGCTCACGGGGTGAACTGAAGGTCACCTTTTTGCCTGATTGGTTTACATTTTTATCCAGTGAATGTGATATCAGGGAGCAATGTTTAGTCCATTCACAAAAGCGCTATTCTACAGCCCTGTGAAAATCATTTTTCAATTATGAACAAACAAAAATCTACATCAAACAACAAAGAGAGGGGTGGGGCTCGCATGCAGAACCGAAATGTTTCAACTCTGCAGCCAATGTGGTTTTATTTTTAAAAACAAAATGACTGGAAAAACCGGGGTGACAGGCACCTTGGTATTCTTTATCCTCTATGTTTGTCATAAGCTTAAATACTTCATAGTAAATCTTGCGTGAAGCATCTTTTGCACAGAATTAGAGAATTTCCAGAATGGCACTGTAAGTTACATTTGTTACAAATATTCTGTTTCCGGCATTTAAGGAAAGCTCACTGCTTGTGTTGCAGTGTATATGTCTTTCCTTTACAAAACATGTTACCATTCAGATTCTCAATCAGTTTAATCTGCTTTTGCCCTTATGACTCTGTGTTGGGAAAATCTTACTTTCTAAAAGTCTGGTTACATTAAAATTAAGCCAAAATGAAAGATGAAGATTTTCAGAAGCATAGTGAACTAGTGGCCCCCAAAGATGTCTATGTCCTAATCCCGGGAATTTACTAGTCTTTTATTTGAGGGGCAAAAGGGACTATGCGGATGAGACTAGGTCAAGATCTTGAGATGGACAGTGGGGACTGGATTACCCCGGCAGGCTCAGTGAAATCGCGAACCTCCCCGGAAGAGGGAGGAAGGAGGGTCGGAGGTGGGAGGGTGTGAAGAGGGAAGGACTGTGGCGGGGGGCCAGCACCCTGCACCACCTGGATCAGCTGTGCAATCTGAGTAACTGGTGGGCGCCCGCCCTGGTTCTGTTGTTTATGGAAGTGGGAGTGATGATGCCGGAACTTACCTCACACATCTCGCATGAGGCTGGAGTGACACAGTCTCTGCCAGGTGCTGTCACCGGACCCCGCAGGCTTTGCGCTTTGTTTGTAGCACATTTAAGAAGGCCGCTTTTTGTTGGGGAAATCATATCAGTTATGTGGGCTTTGCCCATACACATCTAAAAGAAAGACCCGTGTGTTCTGGAGAGACCCTATGGCTCCGCATGTGGCCCTTGCCTGGGTGGAATCTGTTTGTTTGAACGTGAGGCACGGAAATCAGCATGCGAGTTTTCTGTGTGAGGTGCAGCTCTGCTCCTTGCAGTGAAACGTGACTGTGATGACCGTTCGGTCTTAACTCAGGGGACTAAAGGTCTCCAGCTTTCCATCTGACCTGTGCTCCCAAGAGGAGGATTTGCTATGGTGACAGCAGAAATCTCAGGGGAGGGGGACCCCCCGGTGAGGCTAGGCCAGGGACAACATGCAAGGTCACTGTGGCTCCCTCCGATTTTTGGCTGCTTGTCTTGGAGTAAAAGGTAGGGCAGCTTGCCTTAATTCCAGCCTCCCATTCCCTTCTGCGCCACCTCTGCTCACAGAATGCCTTGGGTCCTTTACAGTAACTAGGCTCTTCAGCCGGCTCCAAGCACATTTCCCTCTGGGATGGGATTAGGGCTGGTCGGACATTGTGGACCTTGTGCGTGGTAAGGCAAGAGGACAAGGGAGAGCCAGGGCACATCTGGCAAATTGCACACAGCCTAGGTCTGTGGCCGGACCAGGCCAGGATGGGGGCTGGGGGACAGCGAGTCTTCTGTCCCTGAGGGAAGTGTGCATCCACCTTAGGCACCTTAGTCCACCTTAGGGCTCCGCCTCTCTCCAGGTTGCGAGGGTTCCTCATCAAAACAGATGCGGTGCACAGGTTCCAGGACGCTGCGGCCCCATCCTTGCAGAAATAAACACAGAGGGAAACAGCAGAGCAGCTTCTCTCTGTTAGGAATGCTAGGCGCTTACAGTACATTTTGAATTTCGCAGAAGTAGATCGATAAATAGAAAGGAAAAGGACTAGGGCATTGGGATTTAAAAATAAAACAGCAGTGAGTGGGTCCAGGAGATGTTCCGGGATCTGGAGACCTGAAGAGACGGAACCCATAGTTACGTGGATGCCGGTGGGGGGAGGGAAGCCCAGGGTGGCCCCTGTTCCAGATTTAGGGTTTTAAGCAACAGTTTAGGATTTTAGATAATAGTATATATGTAAGAGAGGGAATTGGTTCTACAGGAAGATAAGAAGTTTCAAATTTGCCTTTGGGCCTGTATAACTGGAGGTGCAGAGGCAGGGGGATGGTGCTGATGCCAGAAGACACACAGATGTGTGGCTCTGGGGTGTGGGCAGAGGGCACGGAGGGTTGGAAGGAGCCCAGGAGCTGATGCAGCCCTCCAGAGACAGCACGGACCCCAAGGTTTGCATTCAACTTGCACCACACACAAAGGCCAGTGAGCAATGTGTGGTCCCTCTGGACGGTTTGGAGATCACCTCACCTCAGAGCCGGATGTTGTGTTCCGGGTGGGATCTTGGTGTCTCCATAGAATCTGTGTCTTCCCTTCAGGATCACCGCGTGTGCAATGACCATGAACAAGTACGTGGAAGAAAACGTGTCCCAGAAGTCCTACACGACCATCAAGTACTTCATGAAGATGCTGAGCAGCGTCAGCGAGACCCTCATCTTCATCTTCATGGGCGTGTCCACCATTGGGAAGAACCACGAGTGGAACTGGGCCTTCGTCTGCTTCACGCTGGCCTTCTGCCTCATCTGGCGGGCGCTGGGTAAGGGGCAGCACGCTCCGTCACCGTCAGCCACGTGGACACGACGAGGGTCTCTCTTCTTGTCCTCTCCTCTATTTCTTCTTCCTCATACCCTTCTTACTCTTCCTGTGCCTCCTCCTGCCTCCTTGTTCTCCTTCTTCCCCTCCCTCCTCTCCTTCCTCTACCTTTTCTTCTCTTCTTCCTCTCTCTCCTCTCTTTTCCTTTCACATCTGCTTCCTGTACCTTCCCCTTCCTCCTCCTCCTTCTCTTTTTGTTCTTTATCTGCGTCTTCCTTTTCCTTCTTCCTCCACAGCTGCCTTTTCCTGTTTTACTCATCTCCTTTCTTTTCCTCCTTTTCCTTTCTTTTCCTCTTCCTTCTTTCTTCTCCTCTTTTTTTCTTGCTTCCTTCTCTGCTTTCTCCTCTTCTTCCTTCTCTTCCTCTTCTTCCTCACCTCTTTTCTCCTCCTCTTCTCCTTCTGCCTCTTCTCCCTCTCCCTTCTCCCACTTCCTCAGTATTCTTTCCAAGAAGTCCCTCTGGCTTCTCTGTCTCCACACTTTCCCCTGTCATTCTGGAACAATGACAGCAGAGACCTGGCGATTACTAATACTACTGGACCCCAGGCCTTGGGACTGCCCTTACATATCTGGCCCCATCCAAGGAGTACAGAAAACGGGTGGAACTGTGGCACAGCCTGGCCTCACAGTCTGTTTCCTTCTGGGTTTGTCTTTCTGCCCAGGTGTCTTTGTCCTGACCCAGGTCATCAATTGGTTCCGAACCATCCCACTGACCTTCAAGGACCAGTTCATCATTGCCTATGGAGGCCTGCGAGGGGCCATCTGCTTCGCACTGGTGTTCCTGCTCCCTGCCGCCGTGTTCCCCCGGAAGAAGCTGTTCATCACTGCCGCCATCGTGGTCATATTTTTCACTGTCTTTATCCTGGTGAGTGGCGTCCTTTCTCCCTGAAGGTCCCTCCCTGAACCAGGGGACAAGAGATCTCTCTACTAACATACGGATTCTGTAGACAGTGTACAAGGTGGCAAAGGCACGTGGAGGACTCAGGAGCTGTGTTATTAGGGAAAACGATACTTCCTGTCTGGGTTCACATCGCTAGTTTATCCAGGGAGCTATGAGGGTCCAGTTTGGTCACCCGACCTCCAAAGAAGGACTGCTATTTATGGAAGCACAGCTGAGTGAGCTCAGCTTACTCCTGGAAACTCTCGGGCTGTGCTTGCTAATCCTGCCTAGTGCGTCGTTCTCTGACCCAGTAAGCGAGCTCATTATGGGCTGCTTGAGCTCTGTCACCCTGCTGCAGCCCTGTGCAATGAGCTGACTGCCTGAGACAGAGGACTGGGTGAACTTGTCTTAATAATGGGGTGCAGTATATGAATTTTGAGACCATAATGTTAGGTGAGATAAATCAGACACAGAAGCTTAAATATCTCATGAATTCTTATATGAGAAACCCAAAGTATAAATCAATTAAAGAGCAAAATAAAAGATAGAAAAGCAGATGGATCTTTTGCAGAAGGGAAGGACCCAGAGATGAGAGAAGGGGAGGGAAGGAAGGGGAAGAAGAAGTGAGAAGATTGAAGGAGTGTGATGCACATTCACTGACTCTTCACGAGGAAAGTGATCATCTTCTACTGCAAACGTGAATTCATAAAAGTAAAACTTTAAACAATAAGTGAATAAAAGATAATAATAGTAATAATACCGGGATGCAGCAAGCATGGTGGGCCTGGGTCGAGGGCCTCACTGGAAGTTCTTCCCGACTGCCCTCGCTCTCCGACCTTCCGTCCTGCGGCTACACACACAGTGAACATTTACTATCTCTGGCTCTGGGCCCTACAGGGCTCTGCAGATCTCAGACCCCAACCTGAGAGAGACAAGGTGGTCCTTGTGCCCCAGAACCTGTGTTTCTGGCAGGGATGGGCAGAGGGAGGTGCAGGCTGTAGACAAGGAGCCTAGCAGGTGAGGAAATGAGGGAGTGTGCATAAGGTGATGGATCCAGTGTACAGAGGAACCTTGGGGGACCCACAGGGCGGCAAGGGACAGCCCCAACCTGACTTTCACGGAAAGGAATGGAGAAGCGTGGGATTTGAGCAGAGGCTTCTTGAAGTCCTGCCGGGAACCCTGCCAGACAGCAGGTTGCAGAGCACTGCAAGCTCTGAGGACCAGGGTGCAGGGCTGGGGTTGGGGCCGCAGCACAAGGAGGTGAGGGAAGCTTGGAGGTGGGTTGTGAAGCTCCTGTAAGCTGACCTCTTGGGCTTCCCTCCAAGGGAAGCACATGCTTGTGAGAGGCTTTGGGCTGACTGCGGGGTGCAGTGGGGTGACTTGTGCACACAGATTCCCCCAGCTCTGTGCCAGGAGGCAAGGGCAGAGACTTTTTGGGGGAAGGCTGCTGTTGTTACCAGGCTGTCCTGTGGTGGGAAAGAGGTGTAGACAGATGAGACCCTGGGATTCACACTTAAGGTGGAGCTGCAGATTTCATAGTGGCCAGGAGGGGAAGGGGTGTGATGTGCCCAGGATTTGTCCTGCAGACCCTGCAGGGGAGCGTGCCCCAAAGGGACAGGCAGGAGGCAGGTAGCTGGGTCACTGGGATCCCCTGGAGATGAAGACCTTGGCAATGAGTCACCCTCTTTGCGGCTCACACCTTGGAGTAAGTTGGGAAGTGGATGATTTTGTCTTAAGCATCTTTCTGTCCCTGCACCCTGGGGCCAGATATGGCTGGGCCACGCCTGGCAGGGTGGGATGGTTCCCTCCTCCTCTTCCTCCTCCTCCTCCTGAGCCACTGCCCTGCCCTGGCGGGCTGCTGCAGCCAGGGGCTGTGTCCCCCGGAGGCGACTGGGTCAGCCAGGTGTCTCCACAAGGCTGCTCCAATGCCTACCCCGTAAAACCCGGCCTCCTGCTCCAAGTACCATGCATGCACCCACTGAGGCATTGCACAAAGTGACTCCAGAGAAAGAAGTCATTCAGGCTGGGCACAGGACACGAGCTCAGAGGGTTTAGACATTGTGTTCACCAGGCATAAAGTTCTACCTCTGTGATGACAGCAAGCATTGTATGGGAAAAATGGGCAGTACTGCAAAAATGTACAATGTTATTTATGGGAGGTGGGTGTAGGCAATTAATGTAGGGTGTGTGTAGATAATTAGTGTAGGGTGTGTGTAGGTAATTAATGTAGGGTTTCACTGTTACACGCATAGTTTTGGCAGTTTGGGACTGAGACCCAGCCTAGAACTCTAAGGAAAATACCGATCACCTGTATTAAATTCCTGTATGCTCCCTTTGAAGGACACCATGTATATCAATGTACAGTTTTAGTGTGACAGAGAAACCTGCACTGTCTTTGCTAACTAACCTAACAGAGGTGAGATGTCTGTGTCTATCTCATTGCTGATTAGTAACAAATTGCTTATAGAGCCTTGTAGACCAGTGCTCTTGAGGGCGAAGGACCAGTCAGACATTGCTCTCTGTGACTTAGTCTAAACCATCACATTCTGTATGCTAAGATGTTTATTCACGACACTCAAAGCAAATAGCAGAGTTTCTGGTGTCAAGGAGAGAATGTACGGGACACACAGGTCATGATAACCAAGGTCTTTCTGTGGAGGTGATGGTTAATCTGAGATGGGAGGCCATGGAGTCAGCTAGGATCTGGGTAGGGAGCATTCCAGGCAGAAGGAGGTGCTGACTCACAGGCACTCACAGAACGGAAGTCAGGCCTCCAGGGGCAGGGAAAAGAGTGGGAAGATGAAAGAAGGACAGGACAGAGCTTGGAGCCCAGGCAGTGTTGCTGTGACTGAAAGTGAGGCAAGCTGGGGGCCTATTTTAAGCCGCTGCCAATCACTACATCAGTACTGAAGGAGCTGAGGGCTGAAAGAAGCCTGGAGGGAAATACTGACTGGCTGCAAACTTGGCAAGAATAACTAATTATAAATCCACATATAAGAGCCCGCCTTCTGGATAAGCATTATGTATTCTTTTCCAAAACAGCTTGCATGCTGACTTCTTATTTAGCTTTAAAATAGATTTCCTGTCCCTTGTTTTAGTGTATACTAGAGGATAAGCTCTTCCTGCCCGGCATGGCTGAGTCAGTCCTGTCCTCACAAACAGAATTTCAGGAGCTGCGTGGTTCGTAACTGGGCATCAGAATCAGTCCTGAGGACTTAGATACCGCCTGCGTCATGTTGCGGGTTTTTGCAGCGCGGCGTCACGCCATCAGAGTGTTGCTCAGGGAATACTGAAGAAGTTAGCAATCTTGAGTCCTGGGCCGTTTGAGCTCCTGTTCCTGCTAGTAAGATTGGTCATATTATTTATATAAAATGTAAGTTATTTCTCATGTTTTAAAATTACACTCACAGGGGCTGGGGATTTAGCTCAGCGGCAAAAGCACTTGCCTGGCAAGCGCAAGGTCGTGAGTTCGGTTCCCGGTACCGGAGAAAAAACCAAAAAAAAACCAAAAAAAAAAAAAAAAATTACACTTACAAGCAGGGAGGGCAGGTGCAGAATTAAAGCACACTTTAGAACAAGGCCAGTCTGATCTGATACTCCGTTCTGCTTCTTGTAAACTCCATGGACCTCGGTTTACTTAACTGGAAATCTTGACGATAGTTATTGCTCCCTCTCAGCCCGTGCCCAGAATGTGCATGTCAAGTAGGATACTTGACACAGGTGTCTTCTTTTTCTTTCTTTCTTTTTTATGTTTTTGAGATAGTGTTGTACTATGTAGCCCACACTGGCCTTGAACTTGTGATTCTCCTGCTTCATCCTCCTGAGTACTGGGATTACAGGCGTGCACCACCATACCCAACTGATAGGGAATTTTAACCTTGAGATTTGCTATGCTTTAATATACAACATTGAGTATATTAATGACAAAAGAAAGAAGAAGTTAACTTCTTTCAGTATTCTTTTCTTTGGAGGGGAAAATAGAGTACGGTAATGATTTAGTTAATCCTTCTAATCATATAGCAGATCCCCAGAATTCTGTAAGTCCACTCAGTAGTTATCTAGAAGTAAACACACTAAGTGCAAAGTGACAGCTGTTCAGCTGGAATTTCAGGGTCCCAGCATTTTTTGGCCACCCTTACAGATCCCCTGGGCTAATTTAGTGTAAATCCTCATGCAGGACAATGGCACCTGCGGGCTGGCAAGACAGAAAGTGGGCTGGAGACACAAGTCTCCTGGGTCAGAGACACGAGACTTTGTCACTCACCATAAAAGCAGGAGGCAGGACCTTGTGCTGACTCATATCCACTTTCCACAGCCCCTGGTCTCATGGAGGTGACATTCAGGCCCATGGAGGATGTGTGTCTGCACATGGCATGGGCTGCCTTAAAATGTAGACCCTGAGCTTTGAGCTTAGTGATGTGGCATGCTCTCAGGAGACCAATGTGGCTTCATGTCTCCAGTTACTCGCTGCTTGTAACCCCGAGAAATGACCCAGGCAAAAAGTTGTTCTTGGTACCCACTGCAAGAACATGCGGGGCCTCTCAGGGTCATGGTGTCCCAACAGTTAACTAAACTTTGCCAGGTTTGGCTTCTCAAACTGAAGAGAGGGTGCTCACTAATGTCTGAAACGGTGAGGAATTCCTATAGAAATGAGCAAATCAATGAGGCTTTTCAAAGACGGGGAATAATTTAGGACAGTAGATGTTTCCCAGTGTTCTGACTGAGGAATCTTGTGGGAGAAGATGACATTGACTGTTGGACAGGACAGGACAGGACAGCACTGGGCTGAAGGGCAGGAGACTGAGTGTTCAGTCTTAGACACACGCACAGTACACATTCACCTGTTTGATGTCCTGGTGGAGTGGCCAGTCAAACGTATGTGGGAGTCAGGAAGCTACGGGAGGATCCGAGAGGGAGACGTCAATTTGAGACTCAGTGTAGAGTAGCTTCTGCAGTGAGTCTGGAGGAAATTATTCAAAGAATTGGTGGAAAAGGAGAGAAGAAAAGAAGGCATCTAAGACCGAACCCTGAAATGCACCGATATTTGATAGCTGGGAATTGAGACCATGTTGAGCCAGGCGTGGTCATGCACACCTGTAATCCCAGCTCTCTGGGAGGTTGAGGCAGGAGGATTCCATGTTCCAGCTCAGCCTGGGCAACCTAGTTATTTAATGGAAGCCTGTCTCATAAATAAATGACTAGAAAAATGACTAAGTAAATGCGTAAAACTATTTTTGTTTTTGAACTTATTTATTTCATCAGCACATGTTTGCAGTGTATCACATTCATATTCCTTTTACATTCCTCAATTCCTTTTGCTTCATTCCCTTCCCCTTCCCTGGCGAGGACGTAGCTCAGAGGAGAAAGCCTAGGTTCAGTTCCTAGCATTTGTAACAACAGTTGAAGACCTCAGTGAGAGACAGATCAGGTGACGAAAGGAAAGAAAGGACATCAGGTGAAGGACCCAGAAGCCAAGTGAAGAACACGCTCAGGAAGGAGAAGGCTCTGGAATCTCCGGCAGAGCTGCTGCAGGCAGAGGGGGTGAGTGGAGGACAGACCGCTTGATCAGTGGGTACAGATGGAGCACTTCCGGTTGGAGAGCCAGGATGGAGCCCCATTGGCTGCTGTGAGGGAAGAGTCAGAGAGAAACTGTTTAGGTCAGGCAGAGGCAGGGAATGTGGGCAGGAGTCCATCTGCCACGGGGTGGAGCCAGGGCAGCCCCTTGAACATGGACGATAGAGGAAGGAGAGAGGCATCGAGAGCCCAGGAAGGAGGAAATCGGCGAGTCAGGAGACAGGATCGTGGTGCAGCGTCGTGAGTGCTGGGAAGGGATGGCCAGCTGAGGACCGGGATCTCGCTCAGCCTTGCTGCGGTTTCTCTGCTTTCGCCAGCCCTCAGATCCTGCTGTGCATTTGTCTTAGAGGCTCTGGGCTCAGGTTTGTCCTGGGAGAAGGGCATCACCGCAGAGAGGTTAGCAACACCAGTGATATTTTTAAGGGAAAGGAAACATTTTCATCAACTTGTTCTGGGAATGACCTGCCACATCAGCAGGAAATAGAAGATACTTTCTCCCCTTCTGCCTCTTTCTTTGTAACTACTAATTCCAAAAACAAGAGCTCATTTCCCCCTCAGGAACAGATGAACAAAATGCTTGTTTAAACTACACAACAGGTTTTCTTCCCTTTTTTTTCCTCTCCCATAACCTCAGGGTGAGAGGAAGGCAGAGGTAGAACACGATGGGGAGCCCTCTCACCTCCTGCCCTGCCCCCTGAACACACCATCACATGAGCCCACGGTCAGGCCCGGCTCTAGCATATTGTGTTGTTTGTGCCAAAGCCAAGTGAAAGGGTGAGAATTTCACTTATGTTTTGCACATGTTTTCCAGTAGTTTTTTGGAAAACTAAGGGTGTTATTTTTTAGCCTGCATGGACAGGAACAAACTATTCTGCTTTGCTAAGCCTTATCAAATTGCTCCTCAGGTATCCTGTATTAGAAATCTTCCAGTGGGGTAAAATAAGGTTCCTTCTTGAAGGTATGTCTCTCCCTCCCAACTGGAGGCAGGGAGCTATTAGAATATAAGGTCCAGCTCAGTTAAGCATGCCATACACGTGTGCTGTTATGGGCTACATCCACTGAGCTGGGTCACTGGGCCACGTCCTGGGAGGGTTTACCTCTTTCCTGCTCCTCCTTTTGCCCTCTCTGCTTCCTGCTGCCGGGTCACGAGCTCCATCTCCTCTGCTATGCCGTGCTGCCCTGAGCCGGCTGACTAGGAACTGGTGTGTCAGGTATTGTGTCTCAGAGATGAGGAAGTAACTAAGACACCTGCCCTTGCCCTCTGCCCCCACAGTTGGTGGATGGAAAAAAGAGGAAGAGGAAAAGGATGGGAGAGAGAGAAAGGTAGCATTTATTAAATAATTCCTTCTGGGCAAATAATTCAAATAAAAGGAACTGTTGGAGCAAACATAATTTTATAAGGTTTTGTATCATAAACTTAAACACATTACACTTCAAGACACTTTTGTGTTTGCTTTTTTTGTTGTTTTTTGTGAGAGGGGTCTTGCATTGCAGTTTAGGTTGGAATCACTGTCACCCAGGCTGGCCTCAAACTTACGGTGATCCTCCTGCCTGGGGTAACAGGCATGCCCCACTACCATCTGCTTTCAGAAGCTTGAATTGACCTGTGTGAGAGGCACACCAGCTCCTTGGAGTTGATCGGGTGTGACCTATTGCTTTGGTGCATACAGATCCCCTGTCAAGAGGGAGGAATCGGTGTCAGAGTTGGGGCAGGCGCTGTGTCCTATCTTTATGTCCTGTATCTCCAAATCCTGGGCACTCATTTGTTGCTTAGTAAGCAAATACTGACAGGAAGAAAATATGTGAAACAGCTGTTGGTGTTGTTAGACCATATTATATAGTTTTGAAACTTGAATTGATTTTGTTGACTTCTCCTTGAACTATGGTTAGACTAGTGGCTTATAAAATCTCAAACTCGGTGAAATCACCCATCTCTGAAAATCACATGCTGACATCCATATTCACTTACATAAGTTGAAAATTATAGAGCACGTGTTGATTGGGGAGCTGCTATTTCCCCTCTGTTATCTCTGAGTAGCAGACTGATACACAAATAGAACACAACATGTGTCTCAGACCATATGGGGTCAAAAACCAGTTTGCACTTCAGAAAGTAAAAATGCCCAGGAGCTGTTCATGGAACAAAAGCCACGACCTTCTTTTAAAGTGTGCATTTGTGTGTGTGTGTGCGTGCTTGCATGCCTGTGTGTAAGTTTGTGTGTGTGTGTGTTGACATTACCACAGCATCCTTTGATGGAGCGATGCGTACGGGTGAGGTAGGATGAAGATCTCGAGGGAGGGAAAGGACCTCGGTGTTCTCCTTCTCCCCTCCATGAACCCCAGCAGCCCTCTGTTCCGAATTTCTCTGCCAGGGCAATGGTAGCCACCAGCACCCCAACAATGAACTCAGCCGTTACCTCCCACCCTGCATGCCCCTGCCTTGCCGGCCTGCTTTGTATGTGTCTCACACTTCTGTGTGTGTTAGCTGGTGGTTTATTTTGTATCTGTGAGTTTCCTCTTGCTCTCCTTTCTCTAGAGCGCTCTTGTGAAATGTCCTCTTCAGGGTTAATTTAAAGTGAACCTCTCAAGTTCTGCTAAGAATCTTTAAGCAAATGCTATTGGAATTGTGCTGCAGGTGCGTGCTAATGGAGACAAAATTGTCATCTCAATATTGCTATTCATCTAGGAATTGTGTATGTCTTTTTAAAGCTTGAATTGTTTTAATAACCTTTGATTAAGTTTTGTAGTTCTCTTCCTAAAGGTTTAATCCATTTATGCCAGGGCAATACATATGATATATAGACTAATAGAATATATCTAATACACTGGCTTGTACATTACTACTAGTATATATGAGTTACACACATTGTATGTTTTTCGCTGTTTATTCTTTTACATTTTTAATTTGTATTTGGGATGAATTGTACATGTTGATTTTGTGTTAGTCTGTTCTTTTTTTTTTTTTTTTTTTAAATTTCCCCAGGTTTTGTTTTTCTGTGCATTTGTGTTTTGAGACAGGGTCTCCCTGTATAGCACATGCTGGCCTCGAACTATGGCATTCCTCCTGCCTCAGCCTCCCAGTAGGTCGTCCAGAAGTCCTGCCGCTGCCTTGTCAGTATTTACACATCGCCCTCCTCTTTGTCCCCTCTTGCTTAGCTGGCTAGGACCTGTGCCAAGTGGCAGTGGGGAGCGCCCTTCTGTGGCTCCTGTCACTTGCAGAAATGCTTTGAAAAGTGCCGCATGCTACAGTGAGCTGCTCACCATAGATCCCAGTGCACGGCTCTCGCGGTGCAGGCGGTTTTCTTTTCTCTTCCGAGTTCACTGAGGAGCTTAGCATTCTGCCCTTTCTCTGAGTTCACCCGTGACCTCGCCCGGCTCACTGCGTGCCCTTTCCCACGCTGGCCACAGCGGTCCCGAGGTCATAGCCTGTTGGGATGCTTCCAGCCTCCTGCTAGGTCCGCGGCCGAGGGCCTTCCCTGCAGGAGACTTTCCCGTTTCTCTCATTCCTCTGCGCCTGCTTCGCAAGTGCTTTCGGGTAGAGCTGACTTTGTAGGAGATTCCCGAGTCCCAGTGCTGAGTCCTTGGCCATCGCCTTTGTGCCCCTGACCTGTGTGCAGTCCAAGCTCAGTGAAAATTGCCTGAACCGGGGAGCAAATGAGAGAATCATTGGGAGATTTTTCTGTGAATGGTACAAGTAGGTGATTCCTCTGAACTGAATAACACTTTCTTGTTCCTTAGAATTATTTTCTAAATATCTCCCACCATTGTCCATTGTCTTGTGTTGGGCTGTAGCCTTCCAGAAGAAGACCAGATATCAGAAAGAAAGAAAAAATCAGTAAAATGTGACATTTGCCACCTCCAATCTTGGCAGCAGAATACCTTTCATTGTTGGTCATCAAAGTTGAGGAGAAGTGGAATTATTCTTGAATTTTTAATTTCATATTGTAAGAAAATTTACCATTTATTCTTTTTCTTGGGTAGGGAATTACCATCCGACCACTCGTGGAGTTTCTTGATGTTAAGAGATCCAATAAGAAGCAACAAGCGGTCAGTGAAGAAATCCACTGTCGGGTAGGTGCTGACAGCGTAACAAGGTAAACGGTCAGGGAAACGCTGGACTCATCCAGACACCATATGGCTCATTTCCGGGAGAAGCTTGACGCCGTATAGCTCATTTCCGGGAGAAGATGGAAATGGCAGAAAGCAGGCAAGGTCTGAGCTGGGGAGCAAGGAATGAGGAGATTCCATGCTTGTTAAACTCCGCACGAGTAGGGAGTGAGAGACCTGTTCTTGCTTCCTTCAGCCTGCAGGTGTTTCCAATGGACACTTACTCTTCATTTATTTTCAAAATTATGGTCAAACTCTTATGAGCACCAAAGTAGCTGAAGCGTTCCTTATTACTGATATGGCCAACATCTCTATTTGCTGGAAGATAATTGGTCCTTCTGTTGCCTTCAGTAAGGCAAACACATGAGAAACAAACAGTGCCAGGGTTGTTAGCATCTAGGCAGGGTGCGCACGGTGTGAGAATCACTGCTGCCGGGTAAATACAAACCAGCTCACTTGCTTGCTTCTCCTTTCAGTTTTTTGACCATGTGAAGACTGGGATCGAAGACGTATGTGGACACTGGGGTCACAACTTCTGGAGAGACAAGTAAGGAAACCTCTGCTGTCGTATTACGACAAGGCTGCGGGTCACTCTGGAAACTGGACGTGATGATTTATGTCATTTTTCAGGGTTCTTAATCTTGGTGTTGTTCCATAGCTTGTCCCTTATGGAAAAGTTCAGCTAGAACAGAGATGTGGACTAAGAGTAGCTTAAATGAGGTTTTTCTCTTTTATGTACCTGGCCAGAGGGAGGCAGTTCTGAAATGCTCCACCCCACTGAGTCCCCAGCGCCTCGGGACCCTCTCTCTCATCGATCTACCATAAGTGGTTTCAATTTCCATTTCCATTTCCTCCAGTCCTCTTGTTGGGCCGTGATTGCTGCTACATTGTCGGCCATTTTAGGGTGCATGAAAGAATGACAGTAATGAGAAGACAGAGGCCACCTCCACCTGCCTCCTAACTGAAGTCACAGGAAGCCGTCACACAGCTCGTCCATTCGTATCACATGGTCATGACCCAATTCTACGGATGCAGCTCACAGCCCAGGACGCTGAGGAATGTGAGCTTCTTGGTTAGAGCAGGGCTTGTCACCACCCTACTGCCTCACCAGCCAGGGCCTTTGTCAATGCAGAGATGCAGAATGCCTGAGGAAGTCACAAAGCTGGCAGAAATCACAGACCTGCATTTGTAAAGGCTTCAGTTACCCTAAAGATTCCGTACATTTATATAAATCGCACACACAGGCACAGTTGCATGGATGCTTTAACATAAGTGGGAACCGGAGCGGTGGGATCAGGCACACAGGTTCTGTGCGGCAGTAGAGTTTAGGACAGAACGGCCTGGCGCCAGTACCCCCGGATGGGGGCTCCCCACAGGCCTTTTCTCCTCCCTTCTCACACCCCGTGCCTTGCTGGCATTGCTGATACCGTGGACCCGAGGGTGCCACCATCAGGGCTAGCTCTTTTGTAGACTAATCAGAAGGATGAGTCTTAGAAAATCACCAGCTAAACAAGACTTTGGCGGGAGGCAGGGCTTCAGCTGGACCTTGAAAAAGGAGGACACACTGTAGTCTGTATCTGGAGGCTCCCACTCTCCTTCTCCTTCCTACCTTGTGGATGGATTTCCCCCACTGCTCCTTTATATGAAGTTGGCCAATCTGCCAGTCTAAGTAATTGAATATGAGAGAAGTTCCAAGAGCTTCTGTTTGCTCACATGTGCTGATATGATATTGGGCTACATAAGAATAAGGCATAGACTTGGGCCTCTATAAAGTTTTGCAACTGAATAGAGACAAAACATCATGAACAGGTATGTGTGTACTTAAGTCTACTTAAGTAATACAGTGAGCTAGAAAAACTTTAGTGCTAGAGCAGCATTGACAGGCTTTACAATACTACTTGCTAATGAAAGGCCCTTTGGGCTTAGCCTCATTTCATAAATAAAGGACAAGTGTTGTATGTGCAGAGAGAGTACCCAGTTCAACACATGCAAACACAAAAAAATAATAAAGCTCATGATAGAAATATGAACAAATGGCCCTTTCTCCTGCAAACGCTCCCTTCCCTGCAGGCAGGAGTGAAGCCAGAGTACTGACCCAACGTCTCATCCTGGGGCTGACCTACTTAGATGGGTCCTTGTCTGCACCCCACTGGCGAAGTCACCTTGCCTTCCCTCAGTGCCCATTAGCTTGGGAACCTCACCTCTCTCTACGCCCTTCTCCCTTTCCACCTGGCCACATTTTTTCCCTTTTTTTGGACTCCTATTGGTCCTTTCTGAAGTGACCCACAGTGTAACCCGAGCAGCCTGGATTCCTTTCAGAAGTTTAGATGGAGCTCCCCATTTGTACCATTCCTCTGCCTCCCAAATAGAGCAGAAAACAGATCTGAGACTCAGGCCCGCAGCCTGGCCACTGAGAGGAAGAAGGCGAGGTGGTCACTTCTACCATGTGGGCTTGCTGTAGAATGTGAGAAGCCTGGTTCTGTCCTTCAGCAGAGACTCCCTCTGGATCCCTGAATCTGTTCCAGGAAGTCAGCTCAAGGCCTGCTAAGAACAGCAGGGTCTCCTATGCCTCGGGTCAGTGAAGCAATGTTGTTCTGTGTCTAATATTTTCCTCAGTGGCAAATATAGTTCATTTAATGAGCTCTGTGAGCAGTGATAGATTTCCATGTACAATTATTTCCAGATAATTCAAATACCTGGATTTTCATGTGTACCGGGCAACACAGGTAAAATAAAGAAGTGAGTAATTTTTTTTAAAGAATTAGTTTGCTCAGATCATATCTCTGGTTTGTGCATAGTTGTTGATGTCACTAAAAATTACATACAAAAAGAAGAGACTGTGTTAGGCATGTTGGGTGTTTTTCCTTTGTTTCCACATTCCTTTTGCTGTGGATTTCCACTGGTCCTGGTAGAGAATTCTTGAGACATTTGATCCTTTGGGAATGGAATGAAAAGGTGATACAGTAGAGACATTTCTCAAACTCAGCCAAAGCAATCTAATGATGGTGAAAGAGAATACCTATGTGTGGCTTGGCAGAGAAATGAAAGGGGTAACAGGAAAGCAAAGAAAGAAAACACACAGTCCCTCCGCAGAATGGACCAGATGCCATTGTCCCTGACATGTAGCCTTTCTATTACTGATGTTTAGTGAGAAGCTAAAACAATAATAACAATACAAGAAGTTAAAGAAGATGTTGTATCCCCATGGGGGAACCTGGCCTGAAGGACCTAACATGAATGAAAAATAAACACAGGAAACAGTAGGCCCAGTCTTCAGCCTGGTGACCATTCAATAGCAGAGTGCATTCTGAATGGCTCTGCTTTAATTATTCAGAGCCCTCTAGTATTTAGACCGAAGGACCAGTGCCAAGAATGCGAGTGAACATTGGGTCCTTTGATAGCACAGGTGTGCCCGTAAACCTCCTTGAGTTTGTGATCATCACTGCAGTACACTTCTTTCTTTCTCAACAAATAATTATGGAGGGCCCGGTTCTTTATATACTGGCATAATAATGTTGCATAACACACCATTGCAAAATTCAGGGGCTCAGAATGGCAGTCATTCACTCTGGCAGGCCATGAGTCAAGAGGTGTTCGGTCAGATGGGCTGGGGGCTGCCCAGTGGTCATCCGAGTCTGGCAGACTTTGCCTGGTGTGACTACAGTGAGGCAGCTTTGCTTCTTTCTTGTGATGTCCACCTGCTTCCATGCCCCTCTGTGCCTGTCCTGGCGTGATAACCATGGGAGCCCAAGATATAAGTTCCAGTGTGCAAGCCTGTGTTAGCACAAGGCCTCCTCTTCCTCATGTTTGCTAGTAGCCCACTGACCGAAAGGAGCAGTGTCAGTGAGCTGAGTGCTGTGGGCAGGGTAGGGCTGGCACCGAGGTCATGGTGGGTAGACCTTGCCAGGTAACACAGCAGCAGGTGTGGGCACAGGAAGCCGTTGGCCCGAATGGTCCATTCTATCACACATGCTTGTGATGCCTGGCACTGTTCTAGACAAGTCCCTGTACATATGGATCCCACATTGCTAGGGCTAGGAGATGGTAAGTGATATAAGTAGGTGAGCTGCATGTTGTGTTGGAAAGTGATAACTGGAAAGTGAAGTCAAGGGGGGAATATGAGATGACAAGAAGATGGCCAGGAAAGGCTCCCTGTAGGAAATTACTATTGAGGAAGGACCTAAAGTTGGTGTAGGAATGACCCTGTGGGTATCTGGGAAGAATATTCCTAGTGGAGGAATAATTATTTTATGGCCCAAAGCCTGGGGGAATTGTCTACAACAGGGAGTCCTGAGGGAGGCTGCAACTAAAAATGAGTAGCTCAGGGCTGAGAGGTGCAGACCCCAGTGGTGCAGGGCCTCGAGGTCAGCAGGCTTTTGCCTGACTGGGAAGCATGGCAGACACCTTGTTCTGTGTGCTCATAGGAGCACCTGTGTCTTGGTTACTCTTCTGTCATTGCTGAGACAACATGCCTGACACCCAAAATTAAGGAAGGAAAGGTTTATTTAGCTCACAGTTTGTGGAGGTTTCAGTCTATACTTGGCTGGCTCCAAGGCAGGGTGGCACATGGCAGAGGGCAACAGTTCATGGCAGCGGAAGAGAGCAAAAGCAACAAGAACAAAAAGGGAAGAGCAGCAGTAATATATTGTATGCAGGCTATCCACCCTGTTACACCCAGTACAGGGTGGGTGTAGCACTCATAATCCCAGTGCTCACACCCATAATCTCAGTATACCATGAGTCAATCAAAAACTCTAGAAGCCCAACCCATGACTGCATGAGGCTTTGGGGGGACAGCTAGACACAAACTATTACAACCTGGCTTCTGTGGGGGACAGGACAATGATGAGGTACTGTCCAGTGAAGAGGATGAAATGTTGGACCATGGTGATGGCCTCAGAGGTGGTGAGAAACGGTTGGATTCTGTGTGTATTTTGATGGTGAAAAGGACAGAAATTGCAGTGAGGGTGCATGTTGTGCAATAGTAGACTGCTAGGCCCGCCATGAAACAGCACCACACATGAGGGGGCCTCAACAATGGAAACCAGGTGTCTGGCAGTGCTGGGGGCTGGAAGCCAGGGAGGAAGTGTATCGGGTTAAATAACCCTTAGGTATTGTGGGCTGATCAGGCCTGCAATCTCCCAAGCAAGTGGACGGTGAAGGCTTAAATAAACGAGACAATGGAAATGATTTCAGGGCTCCAGGAGGGACTAACTCTCCTGCAGCTTGGATATTCTCTGAGTTTAGCCAAAGGCTTCTCTGGGCGACCTGTATTTATTTGGTTTACAAGCAAAGGAGGGGGATACTCAAGAAAACTCGGGAATCTGGGCAGGACTTTTCCAAGTAACACATTATGTTAAGTTAGGAGAACTATGTTATCTCCAGTAAGCCCTTCACAGCAGGGGTGAGAGGCCTGCAGCTGCAGTCTCCTTTAAGTTAATTGGGGTTGGAGCCAGAAGTCTTCAGCTGTGGCTTTATCTTGTCCTTTGAGGAGTCACAGTTCCACGGGTCTCAGGGTGACCAGCGACTCAGAGGTTTACTTACTATGAGACAACTGCCTATCTTCAGACAAGGTGCCAAAGCTTCAGACAGCTCACAAGTAAATGTGAAAAGCCAGTTGGTTAATATTAAATCCTGCTCAGAGCCACTTTGTAGTGGTCCCCAACAGAAGGGGTCAACAGGATCATGTCCTCCTAGGGGCTGGAGGGAAGGGTCTGTTCCAGGGCTCTCTCCTCGTTCCAGGTGGCTATCCTCTCCCTGACTCTTCAGTTGACTTCCCTCTTCCCATGGCTGTGTCCAAATGGCCCTACTGAGGGGGACACCAACCACCCTGGATGAGTGCCCACCCTAATGACTTGATTTCACTTTCTCATGCTTATAAAGACCTTCCCCCCAAAGGTAGTCACATTCTGATATTCTAGGGATTTGGAATTGATCAGATGAATATTTGGTGGGACACAGTTCCACCCACAACATGGACCATGATAGAAGGAGAGCACTAAAGATGACACCTAGGGATGTTAGGATTTGCTGTGGTAGGAAGGACTGTAGGGGAAGAACGGTTCACTGTGGACACGTCAAGTCTGAGACGCCTGTTAGACCTCCAACTGGAGATGCTGGGTAGCCAGTGGAATGTTCCTGTCCAGGGTTTGGGAGAGAAGGGGGAGCTGGCAAAATAAATTTGGGTGTCACTGATGTAGAGATGCTGTGAAAAGCCATGGGACTGGGTAAGGTGCCTCAGTGAGTGCAGGTGGGGAAGAGGATCTAGCACTGGCTCCACAACACTCCCACAACCAGATGTCAGAGAGAAGAAAAGAACCAGTGGAGGGAGGTGAGGAAGAGGTTGGGGCCCTGGGGCAGGGTGGAGTCCTGGAGAGAATGCAGACAATGTATTGAGCAGGTGAAGCACAAAGAGTGAGGACTGATGCTGGCCATGAGTGCAGGTTCTTTGAGAGCAGCTTCAGTGGAACACTGCAGGCAAAAGCCTGAGCTGTGAATGTTCAGGAACTATAGGAGTGGAACTGGATCTAGCAGGTATTGGCAACATGTCTGAGTATTTTGCTGAAAGAGGAAGTTGAAAAATGGTAAATGTAACTAGTGAATACTAATATATGTATGTTACAGTCATATAAAAAACTACCAGTGTGTTTGTGTGTCTATTCATAGATGTTTTTCACACACGTATTGTGTATGAGTTTATGCACATATAAAAATATACATTATAATTGGACTAGCTCACTGCTGCTACTAAGTTTGACCTGGGGGAGGTTTTTTGAGTTATTTTTCAGGCAGTGCGGTATTCATTCACTAAAAGTGTGACTTTCTTTATTTTATAGGTTTAAGAAATTTGATGACAAATATCTTCGGAAGCTTTTGATTCGGGAAAACCAACCCAAGTCAAGCATTGTGTCTTTGTATAAAAAGCTTGAAATCAAGCATGCCATCGAGATGGCAGAGACGGGGATGATAAGCACGGTTCCTTCTTTTGCATCCCTAAAGTAAGTACGGTTTTTGCAAAGTTAGTGCTACTAAATACCCATCAGTAGTTCTTTGAGACCAGAAATAATAAAAAATGGACCTACATCCTAGAGAGATTCTATGATCTCACAGTAGAATGAGGTTCTAGTTTAAATAGAATGGCCTAGACATGTGTGTCCTATGCTATGTTATGTTTTATGTTATGCTAGTTTAGGGTTGACCAGTCAGAAAGTATTCTGTTATGGTTAGGATATCTGTGCTTTTATAACATTTGCTTTGGCAAATTCAATGTTTACTGGAAGTAAATTAAAGCCCCCGAGCCAGTGCTGTGAAATGGCCTATTTTAGGTTGTGTTATATTTGGTACTATAAATGTGAATACGCTAGGAGAGCTGTTTCCCCATAGATTATTCACAGGCTCATGGCTGAAGATGTGGAAGGGACAATAATGCCAGGGACATGAATACAGGGGGTTGCATGCAGCCTGCACATTGGAAAATCCCAGTGTCATTTAGATAATGCGGATGCCTGGCCCTACTCCAAACCCCCAAGTCAGAATCTTCGGTGCTGAATCCCAGGCATATTTAAAAGTTCTTTGGATGTTTCTAATATGCAGCCAGGACTGAGATCCACTGGCCCAGTCCATCTTCCTAATTGTATAAAAGAGGGAGTGAGACCAGAGACCAGAGGGTGCAGGGACTTACCCAAAGTCTGTTGACCATCAGCAGCTGAACCACCAGTGCAGTGATCCTCGACAAGTGAGACTCTCCGTCATGCAGACATCAGTCCTTCTTGATTATGGAAGTGATAGAAATCACAGGGTCCCAAGGAGTTCTTCTGCTCTGGATGAGCTAGAAGCTCATATAAACTAAATTTTACATGATTAACGTGTTAACTCTGAGGAAGTTGAGGTGAGAGAGGGGGAAATGACACATAATACCTAACCTTATAAGCTGTAGTTTTTACTGGACTCTAAGGCTATGGGAGTTTGTGCCATCTAGAATGAAAGAAGTGGCCAGGGGGCCTCAGACGTGAATAGCACACAGCCCTGGAAATGGCAGTGGGCTGAGCTGCGGAGTGACTGACTCCTGGTCCCAGCTCTGCACTGACCTTGCTGCGTGACCTCGAGCTGGCCCACCTGTTTCCTCGAGCTTGAGTGTCTTCAGCCAAAATCTTCAGCCATTTTAAATTTAAAATCGGTAGACTCCATTGTCAAGGTCTCCTCCTCTGTAAAAGTCTGTGGTCCCTCTTACACAGGACTCTGTCTGCAGCTGAAGCAAGGGATGACTCAGTTATCGAGTCTTCAAAGGACAGCCACAATTTTTATGCCCTCAGCTTTGGTCTCATGTGTGGTGCATGTTGAAGCTGGTAGTGAGCAGAGTAAAGGCAAAGGTTTAGGGCTGCAGGTATATTTTTTTTAAAAAAAGAAAAATGGCTTCTTGCATACTTAGGCAAATGAGCACCATACTGACCATTCTACCTTTCCCAAAGTCCTTTCTGTAGAGCAAAAAGAGAAGCAAGTAGGGAGGCAATAAGAAGTGACATTTCCGGAAGTGATGTCATGAGTGTCGTGCGTTTGCTGGGGAGGCGGTGCAGCAAGTCATGTCATGGCCAGCAGACAGGAGAGCAGAGATGTCCAAATAGATGGAATTGGCAAGTGGGCCGTTTACCTCTGGGGCGCTCCATCAGCTACAACAAAGATAACCCAGAGCTTAAGGGATAAATATGTACTAATTTGACAGACTAACTTACCCTGGAAAATAACATTAGAATTTGGGGCCTACCAAGCAGGAGGAGCTCCTGTACACAACTACAGATACTGCTTCAAAGTCCTTCGCCCCATCCCTCCAAGGAAGGAAGTGTAGCCTAGAATTATCTCCGTGCATGGCTGTTGAAATCATTGAAGGCTGCTGTTACCACTAGCATAGATACTCCTGAGAAGTATTTTAAACGATACCTGGACCTAAGAACTTATAAAAAATTAGGGGGGCAATTGAGATTAAGGAAAAAATGAACCATTTTACAGAAGTCTGTCTGCTGAAGTCTGCCATCTCTGTTCACGCATTCCTTTGTCCACTGGCCTGTTAATTACTGCTATGTTTGATTTGCAGTAATGATTAAGTTTATATTATAAAACACAGCAGTTATGTTCTTTATGTGTCATGGCACATGTTCTGTAAGACATGTGTTGTGCATATCAGGTTTTTCCATTTTATTTTTCTTAATTTTATGTACTTTTAATTGTGCCAAATATTTTTTGTAGGCTCCTTCAAGGCTTTTTAGAAGAAATTAGAGTAAAAAAGTACAAATAGTCAATACTCATTATTTGTGGTAGTTATCACTTATTTGCAAATACTGTACTGAACTGTGGCTCCTGGGGGACCTACAGATTGGGCTCCTGAAAGTCTGTGGTCATAGAAATTTCATCAGCCAAGCCATAGATAAACATGTTTTCTGTACATCTTTATGACACCTTATATGTACTATATATGTATATATATACATACTATACTATATATGTGTAGTATATACAGATATGTATAGTATATATATTTATACATATATAGGACATGTAATAAATATTGATTCATTAACACTAAACTCATGGTCAACAGCATTGTACCTCACATGTGAATAGTGTGTCTGACACGTACTTTCTCTGCAACACACCCGTGTTTGGGACACCGGTCAGCACCTCAGCCCTGTGCTTGGGACCATTTCAAACGGTGAAGTTACCAGCAAGCAGCAAAAAGGAAAAGATCACTAAGTAGACTGTGAGAAGGACATTAGTTACGGTATGGAGAAGAAACCAGAACTCAGGATGCTGCCTTGTTCACCGTCCGCTGGGAGCTTGTGCTGAGTGGCTCTGAGCGTCCACCCCTCTGTATGTCTGAGAATGAGTGAAGCCACCCCAGGGGCTGATGCCCAGCTTACACGTCAATTCACAGGTGCGGGGCTCCAGATGAGCGACTGTATTCCCCTGCATGTTGCAATAAGGTGTTTGCAGATATTTAAGTGAAGTACTTAAAGGATAAATCCTTAATAAAAATACAGGTCATGAAGTTTCTGCTGTGAGAAACAATTCTATATTATATTAATTATAGTGGTAGAAATAACAAAGTGATAGTACTGTAAATTATTACATATAATTTCTTCTTTAAAAAATAGCAGCATGAACAGACTCTGTGAAAGCTTGCTATGATTACGTGAAGCTTGTGTATGATTCATTACATGAGTAATTTTGACACTAAAATAACTTTCAGAATGCTTCATTATTTGAAAACTGAGAAATTTAGCAAATGTAAAACATTAAAAAATATTTTGAGATATTGGATGATTCCCAAGTGCTATTTTTTTTTTTTTTCCGGTACTGGGAATTGAACTCAGGACCTTGTGCTTGCCGGGCAGGTGCTGTGCTGCTGAGCTATATCCTGGTCCCCGGTTGCTATTTTTTAAACAAAGATTCTCTTTCTGAAATAATGGTATTATTCATGCTAAGAAAGAAAATCAGTATTGCTAATATCCACTGAAAGGTGAAATCTCTCTTTTCCAAATTTTCACAGTGATTGCCGTGAAGAAAAAATAAGAAAGCTCACACCTGGCGAGATGGATGAAATTCGAGAAATATTATCAAGGAATCTCTATCAAATCCGTCAGCGAGTGAGAAGAATTTATTTACTAAAATACTCCTTCTTCTTTTTTTTTTTTTTTTTTTGTCTTTTTGAGGTAGGGTCTCGCTATGCAGTTCAGGCTGGCCTTGTGCTCACTTTGTAGCTCAGGCTGGTCTCAAACTCGCGACAATCCTCCTACCTCAGCGTCCCCAGTGCTGGGATTACAGGCATGCGCCACCACGCCCGGCTTAAAATATTCCTTCCCTTTTGCTAAAAATGTGCTTTCTGCTTTGTGCTGCAACAAGAGGCCCCTTCTTCCACATGTCAGTGGGTGCCGCCCAGGGGCCTCCTCTTCCGGCATGCCTCTCCGTCTGCAGCGCCCCATCCATCAGGGCAGCAGCGCAGCACAGCTCCGAGCTGGAAGCCCCCGTGTGCTTGCAGATAGAAATACGCTTTGGCCAATGGTGAAGAAGTGCAGTGTTTTTGTAAACGAATGTCTCAGCACAGAGACTATTCAAGTGCATGGGGTCCTCGCAGTGCTCACACAGCTCGTAGTCGCTTCTTCTGCTCTCCGAACCTCTACCTGCCCTGCGCAGTGGGAGCGCGGCTCTTCATGATGAGCTCCTAATGCCACCACGGCTCAGAGCCTGCTGTTCCCCAGGCTGTCTTTCGGCACGTGGCTTGCATTCACTCGCTCAGTCCTCTGCGAAGCGGTAGGCATCACTGTTGGCTCCATTTCCAGGATGAAGAAATTGACGCACCCAGAGGTGAAGTGGCCCATAGGGGGCACACAGCTTGCCAGGGTGGCCTCCCTCCTGCTGGACCCTGGAATCTGCAGCTCCTTGGCTGGTCTCCCTGCTAGCTGCCCCCACCCTCCACCTTTTTGTACCTCTGCCTCCTCTCTGCAGCATCTTGGGAAGGCAGTGTTCTCCTGTTTACGATGGTGCGACAGTGGGGCCGGCTTCCAGGCTTAACTCTTCTTGCAGAGTTTGGGGCCCTGTGTCCAGCCTCCACTTCATCCGGTCTTAATGCCCATTGCTCCACACTGCCCCAGGCACCCTTGGAGCCCCAGGTCTGTCCTCCATCCTTGGGCACCTCTGTCTGTCCCCTTGGAGCATGCTACCCCTTCAGGTCAGCTTTGTCAGCTGCTGTATCACGGTGTGCACTTTTTCAGTTTTCCTCAGCAATTGACCTGTCACCCCAACCCCATGCTCCAATGAGCTCCCACTTGGCATTTGTAGGATCCATTCATTTCACGGCTTGGTTTACTTTGTTAATGTTAGCCTTCAGTGCCTGACTAGCTAGCTCACACGTCCGCACCGGAGTCAGGCCCTGTGCTGTGTCACTCTGCCTGGTCACAGGGACATTCCCACTAAGTGCATGCCACTTCCAGCACGAAATGGTAACCGTGGCTTTGGAGAGGAAACATGATTCTGTACAGCTTATTAACTAAACATGGGTGCCAGGTGCAGCTCAGCTGAGAAATTTCCTCCCACACTGGGACACGATCGCCGCTGTGGGTGGCAGCAACTTTTCAGTGTGACGTACTAGCCGGAACTAGGACAAGCGCTGGAGCCAATCTAAGGGCCATGGCACCCCCAAGTGGCTCGTGGCGGTTTGTTTTATGTCAGTAATTCCTGTCAATGGAGAACAGAGAACTAGGAAGGTGTTCTGTAGTTTTTCTAGCTGCTGCTGCTGGCTAAATATAGGCATGGTGGCGCTTGGTGAGTTCAGTCATTGTTTTACATTTGTAATGATCACACTCTTCAACAGAAAAACGTACTGACTTTTATGAAAAGGTGAATTCTTTCAAAATTTGAAAGCATTGGCTGTTACACTCTTTACTTTAACTTTGCTTTGTTTTTCGCTGTGTGTGGATTTTGAAGGCACCTGGCCGAGGTGGGAATCCAAAGACATGTGGTGGAATTTGGGGGTTCTAGGGAAGTGATCAGGCTTTTGGTAAAATGTTACCTGTATGCCTATTTCAGACTCTGTCCTACAACAGACACAATCTGACAGCCGACACGAGTGAGAGGCAAGCCAAGGAGATTCTGATTCGCCGGCGGCACAGCTTGCGGGAGAGCATCAGGAAAGACAGCAGTCTGAACCGTGACCGCAGGGTATGGTTTGCCGTCTACTGTCAATCACCCATGAAGTCTCTGCCTCTGCCCACCTAGTGGCTGCTGAGGGCTGATTTCTGGGAATGCTGGGATGAAACTAATAACACCATCATTTCACCAAAAGTGCTGACATTAGTACCTGTAGTCCCAGCCCTCAGGAGGATCGCCTGAGCCCAGGAGTTCAAGGCCTGCCTGGGTAACAGAGTGAGACCCCCATCTCAATAAAAAGGGCGAGAAATAATAAAGCCTTTTCTAATGTTTCTTGAATGCCTGTTGTGTTCCAGCCCGTGTCCTTTCACAGGCACACGGAACACACCAGTGAATAGCATTTGAAAAGATTCCTAGGCTGAGGGATTCCTATTCCAGTGGGGGAGAAGGCTTCCAGGAATAGAATCTAAATTAATTTTTATGATCAAGGTAATAAGTGCTATCTTCACACACAGAAACAATGAAGGGGAAAGGTGGTAGTTGCTAGTGCAGGAAAAAGACAGCGAAATTACAATTTTAGTCAAGAGGTGCGGGCCAGGCTTCCACCGCCGGGAAGTGGTATAGACGTGTGCCATATAACTTCTAGACATGTTTTGAGAAATGTGTTGCTAGGTGATTTGATCATGTGAACATAGCAGAGTGTACTTACACGAACTAACGTGACTGCAGGGTCGCTAGGTGATATCACTGTATTGTTGTCTTTGACCAACATATTGTAATGTGGCTGATGACTATCCTTGCTGTCCAGGGAGGGGTGGCAGCAGGCAGAGGTGGGCAAATCTGTGTGATCTCAGGGGGCCCTGCAGGAAGCCCAGAGTGCCCGGGAGATGAGGGTGTGTAAGGAAATCAGCGGGTCCAGGGCCTTGTCAAAAGGTATGGAGAGTGATTTAAAAACAGATTTTCTGATATACTATGCCATGATTTTCTGATATACCATGCAAGCCATGGCATCTCACGTTTAATAATAATTCACACAGGGTCGCAGAGTTCAAGACAATTGTATGTGAACAATGACCTTTTTTTACACGTCAAATGTAGCACTGTCAAAAATGAACCCTAGAAACCAAGGACTGTAGGGTTCAGAATGTCAGAAGATTTCTAGCAATTTTTGTTGTTCAATCATTTTCAAGATTGATTAAAGTGAGTGAAACTTAAGTATGCTCTATTCTCTGTATTTCCTTTCCCCTACATGTGGATTGTAAGTCTTGGTAGTAATTCTTTTATAAATAGATGTTTCAATTGCTTTTCTTTGAGGAAGGCCCAGTGGGCTCCACACCTGCTACTGAGGGTCTGACTTACTGACTTTCTTGTTGTTGGGATGAAATACCCAACACCTACAAGTTGAAGGAGGAGAGATTTATTTTGGCTCACAGTTTACAGAGGTTTCATGGTCCATGGTCGCCTGGCTGCAAGATGGCAGCCTGACAAAGCAGATAGGAAGCAGCAGCAGCTTTCTCTCTGTCCTTTCTATCCCACCCAGGCTGTCATGCTGCTGATTGGTGCCACCCACACCCAGGGGGGAGCTCCCATTATCCACATGCAGAGCTATGCTAAATCCATTTCGTTACTATATACCTTTAATCCCAGTGTCACACACCCTAGATCTAGGCATATCTGAGAAGCCCCACCTAGGAGCACAGGAGGCTTTGGGGAGACCATGTAGACACAAGCCATTTATTTTCTTCTTTACTATGGATCATCACCAGGTTTTAGAAGAAATTAGTTATTTCAGGTACAATGGTGACAGCACTTCACAAAGTAGTTTGGGAATGATGAAGAGCTAAAATCTTATTTTAAGACCAAGTATTATAAAGTTTTCAACTTCTCATATACCATAAATGCCATTTATGTAATATGAGTCAGGTTGTCTACCTTTTTTTACAGGCTTCCACATCAACTTCCAGATATTTATCCTTACCTAAAAATACAAAGCTTCCAGAAAAGCTACAAAAGAAAAAGAACATTTCTAATGCAGGTAATGAAGATACTTGGAATAGAAAAACTTTAGATGTATCTAAAATAGAGACATGTTCCTATTGATTTTCTTCATCAAGGAAGAGTTCAGTAGCTCACAGTGTAAAACAATAGGGTGACCTTTCATGAGTATCATGGCCTTTTTGAATGATGTCCTTTGCAAATTATAAATAATCCAGTCATTTATTTTCTTTCCATAACGATTCTTTGATATAGCAAAAACAAATACTGTTGCCGTGGGGTTACTGAGCAGGTACATAGAGTGTTGTAAGTCTGAAAATGTGTAAATATTTAAAGTTATATAACCATTTTATTTTCATAGAGCCAACCATAGGTTTTTGCTTTACTGTAAAATTACTTGAGCTTTGTTTCTGATCTAATTTTTTATTTGATGGTCATTTTTATGGAGACTCCCCAGCTCAGTCCCGTGAATCCCAGAGGAACTGCCTCAGGATTCTGTGTTGTTAGTGTGTGCGATGTAAGGATAATTCACACCTGTTTGCTCCCTTTCCCCTGCCTGTTTATTGAATTAACCAAGAACGGGGAGCTGAGGGCTGCTGCTGACAATGGAGGGCCACGTGAGACAGGAGAGGGAGGAGAGAGAAAAGGCAGCACTGAGAGTTTATAATCCTGGCTGTGTTCCCACTGCGCGCCCTGAAAGCATGTCCTCAGTTCCCGAGAACCGCAGTTCCAGGCAAACAGCCTTTTGGTCCCCCATCTGGCACCTCACGGTGCCTCTGCCTTTGTTTGCAAAGTGCACACGGGTTTTCGGCCTTATGTGGAAACACGGAGGACATCTGCCAAGTCATACATGAGCTTCCAGATGGAGGGTAATGGCAGGTGACGGGCAGAGGCTTACTGTGCACCAGTCTGAATTCCAGCTCTGCCCCTGCTAACATCCCTGACCCTAGTTACCCGTCTCCAAAATGGGTGATTGCCAGGAGTAAAAGAGCAAATGCATTTCAAGGCCCTTAGGACGGCACCTGGCGCATAGTAAACTCTCCCAAATCAGCACTTCGGACATGAATGCTCTCAGAGGTGACACAAGAGTCTTCCTCAGCTGGAGTGGGAGTGGGCCCTGTGACCTTGGCCCACTGAGGCGCGGAGGGTCCTTGTAACACCCGCTCTCTGAACCGCTCACCCACACTGTCCTTCTGCTCTGTGACAGATGGCAGCAGCAGCGACTCAGACCCAGACACGGGGACCACCGTGCTCAACCTGCAGCCCCGAGCCAGGCGCTTCCTGCCGGAGCAGTTTTCCAAGAGGCTGCCCCCGACCTACAAGATGGAGTGGAAGAATGAGGTCAATGTGGATTCTGGCCGAGCGCAGCCTGGCAGCCCCCCGGCCCCCAGCAGCAAGGACGGCGGCACCCAGACCCCGGGTGTCCTCCGGCAGCCTCTGCTCTCCAAAGAGCGGCCGGGCCAGGGCAGGGACGACAGTATGACTGAAGACACGGCGCCCAGGCCACCGCCCAGGCTGGTCCGCAGGGCTTCGGAGCCTGGGAACCAGAAAGCCCGATTTGGAGCCGGTGAGAAGCCTTAAAGAGAATGGCCAAAGCATATCTGGGGGACCGACCCAGCAAGACTGTGGTTTGTCACCCCAGACACCAAAGCAACCTGGAGTCCGTTTAAAAACCTCTATCGAAACGCTTTCTTTGGGTGGCAGAGTCAAGCCACTGACTCATGGGATGAATGCTTATCCCAGGAAGAGGAAAATCAAAGGAAAAAAGTCCCATAAAGTGTCTTTGTGACTTGTGGCTAGCAACTGTACTCTTTTCAGGCCTAAAGAAAAAATAATGTGTGCCTTTTATTGAACTTGAAAGACAGAACTTGAAATTTTTAACACACACTTGTTAGTGCAAATGTTAATATATTACATATATGTCTCAAATTTTATTTATGAAAAATGTGTATATCTGTAGCAGGTCAGTTGTTAGGTGAGTGGCACTATAGTACCGAGAACAGCTTTTCCAGGGATGAGCGTCCGGTGGATGCTAAGTTCACTGTAGGGCTCTTTTCCTGTCCCAAGCCTGTGGGCCAGTTGGTGAAGGAGGAACAGAGGCCGAAGAGGGTCATCTCAGGACACAGCTGGAGCACAAGCAGGCCGAGTGGCTGATAAAGTGGTAGCTCTCGGCAGGGTGTGGGCTAGGGTTCCCGTACTCCTACTGAATTCATCACTTCCTAATTTGTTCCTCTTGTCTACCATGGGCTTGGGTGACATAGAAGTTCCAAATCCCCTTCTTTTTAGGTGATGGAAAGAAAAAGGCTGCCCAGATCAGCTTGTAGGGTTTGACAGACGTGGCAGCAGCTTTAGCGAAGCCATAGGCACGTGGCATTCTCTTGCGGCCACTCCTTGGGGAGTCGGGCAACACCTGCCAACCATAGTGAGTGTAGCTCCTGCAATATATGGAGGAGGGTGAGGGTGACTCCTTTCATGCCCATCTATGCCCACCTGCTCTAGTAGAATTATTCTGTAGAACATTCTAGAACTTTTGTGTGGAGGTCAGCACCTCCAAGCAGATGATAAAACTCTAACTAGACTATATTCTAACGTGTGACACATTGGCCAAATTTCAGGTTTTGACTTGTGATCAGGAAGCACTTTGGAGAATGTGGGAATCCTATTTATTTTTGCACTAGTCTGTAATTTGTTACCTCCTCACTTTCAATGATGTAGTGACTCAAATTCTTCATACCAAATTGGATTCTACTTGTGGGAATACTTTTTAGAACACTGCAGGAAGAAGTGGAACATAATCATTAAAGATTAATATTTAAATCTCTGGCTCTTAAACTGTAGATTTTATTACCTGCGTTTTCTTTCTGAATAATCCTTCTTTAAAATGTGCCAGAACAAAGACTCTGAAATCCGTGGGTTTAGGTGTTAAGTGAGGACCTTAGTGTAGCTTCTTCGTTTCCCACCAGAAGCCTTTCACATACAGCGAAGAATGGAAGTGCCCGCAGCGTTCCCGGGTAAGGGCCAAGAATATGATAGCGGAGAGAGGGGGACAGTCCTTGGCGGAGGACCTCCAGCGCTGCTCTGGTTCGTCAACATGGAGAGACAAACCTTCTTCTCCTTCATGCTGTAAAGTCTTGGGATACTGCCAGGTGACCAGCACATGACAGGAGAAGGATGCATATATTCAGGTTCAGCTGCTTTCCCAAGCTGATCAGCAGAAATCAGAGTAGAACAACATCAGAACATTACAAGCTTAGGACTCTGTGCTAAAGATCTGCATTTTATATGAAAATATTTACAAGGAAATATATATTCCTTTTGTTGAAAAAAAACTAAAGCTGATCTAGAATTATATTATGGAAATATAATTGATCAAGAGGTGTGATGTGTATTTCTGAGAATGCCAAGAGTAAATTCTCAGGAGAGCTAGGAACTATGAAATTGGAAAAGGAAGTAGAAACTAAAAATGACCTTAAAATTTCCTGATTTTTAATGTAAAGAAATATTACATCAAGTTTAACTTTCTGGAACCAAAGAAGACATGAGAATTTTTGTAGCACTTTTTGTGAAGCAGGTAGACCTAATTTAGCTTTTGCTGACTGAGGGTCACATACAGAATTTGAATGGCAATGTATACATTTTGGAAAAGGAGCACTGAAGTCATTTTATTTTAGTTATTATCCGTTTAAATTTTTTTTATTTGTTGGATGGCAAAGGCAATAAAAATAAACTTGACTTTAGCTTCTCTGTATACTTTCTTCTTTTGGTGATTATTAAATTCTTGTTGCTATGAAAAAAAGATAGTGACAATCGAAGAAAGAAAGTGAGGCTCTTTAAATGCCATAACAATCTGAATTTCTGTAGTCTGGGAAAAGCCCAGGGCCCTTCTAAACGACTCAGTTCCAAAAACACCTAATCCAAAAAAGTTCCAACACGCCAGTAGGACTTTGATCGGTCTTCTGTGGCTGATGAAACTTGTTGCATTTGAAAGTGAAAAGTCAGGGCTTCATTCTCTATACAGAAGGGTTGACTATTGGCAATAATTTTTCCAGTCAGCAAACTTCTACAAATCATTACCAAAATCTGCTCTAAAGTATGTTCTTGTATACAGCCCCCCAAAATGAGGGGGATGAAATTTCTCTTAGTTTTTGCTGAGTTTTGCTGCAGGGTGGTAATGAGGGGTGTTGTGTTTTGCTGGGAAGTGGGGTGCTCATTCATCAAAGTGTGGAGGAGCAGTCTGCATGGTTTGCCTTTGTGGCATTGCCTGCGAATCATGTTTTTCTTAAGACTGGCATCTCATAATCAGCCCAGACGTACTGCTGCTAGTTAGAAGTTCATGCTGAACTTGATCCTTGAAAGACTGATTAAAAATATTATTTGTCCAGAATTAGTGGCTGTTGGAATTCTCTGCTGATGTCTGAACACTCTGATCATGGGTTCTGGGACCCTCTGAGGGGATCAAGCTCTGTGGATTCATAAGTGCATTATATAAAAGTGGTGTTCACATATAACCTATGCACATCTTCCTATATACATTAAATCATTTTTATGTGACTTCTAAAATCTGAAACAGTGTAAATGCTACATCCATCGGTGCTATACTGCTTGCTTTAGAGAATACTGATGAACAAATCTGCAATGTTCCATACAGAGGTAATTCTTTTTAAAGCTATTTTTGACATATGGTTTGTTGAATCTGAGGTGGCATAGCAGCCTGATCCCATGGAGGGTGGGCTGTATTCTGATCCCTCGTTACCTGGACAAGACAGCTTATAACCCAGAAACACACTGGGGACCTGTGTTTTGTTTTGATCTCTTCACTTACAGAACCAAGTGTGTGGCGCCCTATTTCCTATCCTCCTTTTTTAACTGGGCTGTGTCTTCAGCCTCCTTCTAAAGAGAGTAGGAGCCATTTGGCTACATGACAGTAACCTTAGCTCTGGTAATGCCTTCAGTGTTAGCTTTCTCATTGCTGGGACAAAATACCTGGCTCCCACGATGTAAAAGAGAGGTTTATTTGGCTTATACAGTACTTCTGAGGGTTCAGTCCATGGCTGGCTGACTCCAAGGCAGGAATGGCAGGGTGGGGTGGAGGGAAGCAGCTCAGTCCACAGCAGCCAGGAAGCGAGAATGCAAGAGCCAAAGCAAGACACACACCCTTCCAGTCACACCCCAGAGACCCGCCTCCTCCAGCCAGCCCCACCCAACAACACGTTCTGCTGAAGCTCATCAACTGACTAACCCGCTGCTGAGTACAATGCCCCATGATCCACTCACCTTCCTAAAAGCCCGCATCTGAACAAAAGACTTCTGGGGAACATTTTTAGGTGCTAATAACAACACTCAAGATTTTCTCATGCCACCCATTCTGCACCTAGCTAACAACCGTAGCCAGGGGCCAGTCACATACAGGGCAAATGCCCAGCTGGATAGTTTTTGAACATTTCTTTAATGGTATGCTGGTTCATCAGATTTTGATCTCTCTTGCTCCTTCTTTCTATATTTCAAATAAAATTCTATTTTCCTACCTCTATGTACAGTCATAAAATTTTGGGTTAGTGCTCATCCTTGTATGGTCAGAGAATGAGTTTTTCTGAGTGTAGTAGGGTCAGCCATTCAATAATTGGATAATCATGTTTTCAACCTACACAGCATGTGGATCATTTTGAATGGTTCAGACCTACTTTATGACTTCCAGTCTGTCCCCAAGGTCCTATCTAAGGATCTGCTGTCACCCTACTACAGGGTGTGGAAATACTGAGATCACTTTTCAGACTCTTTACATCTGTGACAGAATACTTTGAATTAAATATCACACTTTCTCTCCTTTTTTATTGCATTGGTTTCTGTTGAGTCTTAAGTATGATTACTAACTAATCTCCAATTTAAGTGAGGTTCCTTATATCCATTTATGGTTAACTCTGCTCTCCAAAAAAATGTTTGTGTATGTACAAGGCTAAATGAAATTTTCTTTCTCTGGAAATTCTTACAAAAGTTATGTATTAAATCATATGTATTCATTTAATCACTTATGGAGACGATACATCACCTGAAACAGTCCTAGAAATTCCAATTTTTATATTGATGTATCAAACTACTTTCATTTGCATGAATGGGCTGTGGTGGCTGGAATTCATGAGATAAGAATTTAAGAATATTAAAACATTTGAACTCTCTTAGTTTCCAAGACATACATCTCAAATGGGGCTAACAACATTACTCTGTAATGGAACTTAATTAGAGGAATAAGTATTCTAATTGACTTATTAATTTTCTATATATAAATAGTCCCTTGTAAAGGGTTCAGAGATAATATATGCTCAGAAATATTAAATGATTTCTTTCCAAGTCAACTCAGACAAAACAAGTAATGGCAATCAGTTTTACCAAATGATTTAAAAAGATTATGTAAAGCTATGCATGAACCCCAATTTTACATTCTCACTGACACATAGTTTTGGGCACTGGTGCTTAAACATGCACTGTACTTGCTACTGTAGTTGCCTCTTCCTTCATGGTATCTATAAAGTCCTTACCTTTAGCTGGAAAGTTATTTTGAACCAGTTACCACTAGATATACTATTGATATGTTCCTCCAAGTAGGTGGCACAGTGAGAAGACTTTGTGACCCGAAGAAAACACCTGTCAGTGACGTCCCTGACTGGCACTGCCCAGAGGTGGATTCTGACGTCCAAGCTCGAGCCTCAGCCACATGGAACAGGTATTCAAAGCAAACATGTACCCTGTCTCATGCATGCAGACCCGAAGGGTCAGGTCCAGGTCAGCAACAGAACACACTGACGATGCAGTTTTCTTTGGATATTTCAGGAAGTTTCAATTTCATTAAGTGCACTGGGACAAATTTAAGTAGGTAAGCTATTATACCACAAAAACCTGCTTGGATAAAAGCTTGTCTATTCAAAATGGAATGTGTAAGCCCCTTCCCAAAATTTGAAGTTTCACTGTATGGTTTACTCCTGACCAGCCTAGATCCAAGCATGAGATGGAAAATCCAACTCCTAAGTTTTCAATTCACATCATTCTGACATGCATTTCATTCCATGCATTAATATCCTGTTGCCCTATGCTTTGTCCAGTGTATCCACACTGTATAAGGTACCAACCCACCAGTCACCGAGTAGCTATCAAGATCATTAGATGGACTGCCACAGCATCACAGGGCTCGTGCTCAATTCATCTGTTCTGAGTAAGGCTGTCACAGCACAAGAGCAGTAATGCCAGCAGCACAGACATACTAGAAAAGCTGCAGTGCTTCCCTTCAGTGAAAGTTCTTGACTGCAAAGAAGTCATAGCCTGAGGTTGCTAAGAGTTGTGCTAAGTACATCTTCTATCCATGAGATTGTGAAAAAGGAAAAAGAAATTTGTGGTAATGTTGTCACACCTCAAACCGAGAAAGCTGTGATTATCCTGCATGATAACTGCTTAGTTAGGTTACCAAACATACTAAATTTACCTAAGTTTAGGAAAAAACAGAGGATGCGTAAGGTTCAGTATCAACTACAGTTCGAGGCATCCTTTGGGCATCTTGGCATGCAAACTGTGGCCCTTGGGTGGAGAACTGATGGAGAGATTTTTTGGTAAACCTGAAGGAAGGCTATCTCCCATCTATGTTATAAATTGCAGCCACTTAACTTTTTTCTCTCACAGTGTATGCATGGAAGGATTTTAGTTTATCAAGATATAGTTCAGTTTAAACCAAAACTGACAACAGTGTAAGTCTTCATGTACACCAGACTCATTGTTCACTTTCATGCTGTTAATTAACGCTTGTTCATTCACGTCTATAATTACTTTCTCCACGTAAGGAACAACATACGCTGTCTTAAACTCTTCAGAATAACATTCAGCACCATTTTCACAATGTACTGAATCAGGGAAACAGAGTCTTGTTTCGACTGTTATTGCTTTCATAGACAGCTGTCTACAAAATGCCTGGTGCATTTAGATGGCCTTTCTGGGAAAAAAGAACTACAGAAAACACGTTTCAAAATATGTATTTGTGCATCTGCTTAATTAAAACTAAATCTACTGTGATGTTATCTCAAAACTACTCTCCCAGCCAGCAGCACAAACTTCAGATTCTGAACACATCTGATGCTACGCAATGGTCATAGAGGCCAAAAGACTTGTTTTCAGCATTAAGCTGTGCTTCAGCGTACTGGAAATTAAATCTTTCAAGCACCTCGGGACCCTAAATTAAATTCGTATGAGGACACAATCATGGCTTCTAAATATACAAATTGATTAGAGAACAGTTACAATTTAAAAGAGATTTTATTTTTGACAAATACTTGGAACTAGCAAGGTCTTCAGGACAAAAAATTAGGACTGAGTAGAGATTTGTTCATCTCTCACCCTGTTCCGGGGGAGCTGGGTCTCACCCCTAGGGCAGACCTGAGGGACCCATTCCAGAGGCTTCTGGAAGGCTGCAGGGTCAGGTCAGATTTGGGGTGAGTGCGGTACGGTGCAACGCCCTCCAGTGAGCTTGCTGTAATCCCAAGCTGGCTTCTGTTCTCTGAATGCTGTTGCTCAAAGCCAGAATTTCCCCATTCTGGGCTGCAGCTTGTGCCTGACAGGCTTCCGAGTATTTCAGGGTCCACAGGAAAGGACAGGAAGCACCCTGAACACCCTGCCCCCCACCTGTGCCGCAGCACCTGCTCCTGCTAACATGCACATTCTCTGGGGGTGGGCCCGGGGGAGGGCAGAGTGCGGGACACTCACCAGCAGCCTGACTTCGGCCCAGCTCTGCCCAGACCACCCTCAGGGCCCGCCCTCCTCTGTCCTGTCGCCTGTCCCTCCAGGTGCCCATGCGAGCCAGGTTCCCACAGTGCAGGGCTCAGCCCCGGTCCGCCTGCCTTTTACTTGTCCCTCTGGATGTGGATGGAGAGCCGGTATGCCTGGGGCTGTGGGCAGAGCCCGGCCTCCAGCGCCCAGCCAAGCCCTAACCCTACGCTGTAGGAAGAGATATTTTACTGAAAGAACAATTCCACGTGGCCCATCTGGTGCGCCCGGAAGGGAGGACTACAGAACCACTAAAGAGAACCTTCAGACAAACAGCACCCAAACAGTTCATTTGCCTGAGATCCTGTTCCTTAAACGATACACCAACTGCTCCTCAAGGCAGGGCTCTCCAAGCGTCACCGTGCACTGGGCCAGCAGGACACACGGTAATGGTTCGAGGAGTTGGCAGGGGCTGAGTGGCGGTCTGCCCCCGACAGACGCTGCAGGTGGTGCCCGGCCGCTCTGAGCAGCAGGACGCTGGGCCGCGTGGGGGACTGCAGGAGACAGCGACTGGGAAGAACACCTGCGAACAGAACGCTGAAGCCACTGGTGCGCAACAACGGAGATGTTCGCCTACCAAGATCCGGCTTTGGTTTTCAATACTTCCACAGGACTGGTCAACTAATAAAGCCTCACTAAGCTGACAGGCTTTGACTTCAAAAACAAAGTGTCATGATCTTAAAAACAAAAACGTCACCTTACTTAAGAACTTTTAGGAAACTCATGGATTTCTAAGAGCGTGGGAAAATCAATCTCTGCCGTGAAATTCTGTTTCGTTGCATCAGCCCCAGATTCCGGTCCTTTTGGGCCTAACCTCCAGGACAGTCAGCACGCTTCCCCAGGGCCAGGCCATTCCCACAGCTGGGTCTCTCAGCACCTTGCTTCTGTATGAAAGTTCACATCCTGATACTTATAATAAAAAGTTCATTATGTTTCTTGTAGCCAGGTGGAAAGAAGGTCAACCTCCAAACTAAAACATAATTTTAAAGATCATAAATATTTAAATTTACACGCAATTTCTAAAGCTCTGGAATTTACAAATAAATATTAATGTAATAACTTAGTGTATTACAATTTCACTTACAATCATACGGTATGTGCATTTGGTTGGAAAAGAATGTCCTATCTTAGTGGACTTGTTAAGAGGATCAAAGGAAGGTGGACTTTGCCAGTCTGTGAGCAATGGGGTCCTTACTCATTCTTAGCGGCAGCAATGTAACCCCAGCGCCAGCGTGCCCAGCCTGCACTTCCCTGAGTGGGCACAGCCCTGGCCCCGTGTCTGCCACTAGCCCTTAGGCGCTGCTAAGGAAATGGAAATTTAGTGACGTCCGAGGCAGAGCCGTGCCCAACACCCCTGTGGGTGAGTGTGGCTCCTTTTGGGCACTACATTAAAATGAAATGAAGGACAGGACTTTGTCCATGAACCCTATGAGATCCAGCTCCTCCTAGACAGCACCTATGGAATGAATGCCACAGGCCCTTAATCTGTATTAAAATGCTCATGAGGGTTTTGGGTTTTTTTGTTACTGGGGCTCAAACCCAGGGCCTTCACACTGAGCTACATCCCCAGCCCTTTTATTTTGAGACAGGGTCTCACTAGGTTACCAGCTGTCCCAGCTCAAACTTGCAGCGCTCCTGCCTCAGTACCTTTGAACGCTGGGATAACAGGTGTGTGCCACCCAGCCTGGCTTTGCAGGCCTGTCTGATACAGCAGCTTCTCTATGATTTTCACAGCAGGACGCTCCAGGTGGCCAGTGCGTCACTATCGTGCTACCCTACTTCTCGGTAGGGACACGCGGGTGGCTTCTTCCCTCCCACACGTCACAAACGTCATCAGCCACCATCCCCCCTGCAGGTGATAGGGTTTCTTCACCTGGCGTCTTAATTGTTTGGTCCAGGAGCGAGCATTTCAGGTGAACACTGAACATGGTCCCTCTTGGCTGAGCTTTGTTCCGATCTGAGCTTCCTCAGCATCCCTGGGCCTTCCGGTACACCTAAGTGCCCACATGCCGCATGTAAATGACTCCCTTACAACCTTGACCTCTTTACGCTTCCTCTCCTGTTGTGGCTACCGCCCTGACACCACTGCGATTGTTTCTCCGCAGAATCCAAATGTGTCCTATGCACTTTTTAACTTCCCACTCAAAGCACCACTGGAGTGAGGTTTGTTGAATGACATTATAAAAACAGCCACCAGGGCCAAGGCAGCTCCCAGCCCCGGAGGCCCACAGGGGCTGACCTCCTGGGCCACTCCTGAGAGGAGGGGGGCGATGATGCGGCCCACGGCGGTCACCGACTGTCCCACGCCTATGACGGTGCCGCTGGCCTGGGCGCCGCCCACGGTCAACTGCAGGTCCGTGATGCAGGTCCTGCCGATGGCGGTGGAGAAGGACAGGAGCGTGGAGGTGAGGACCACCAGGGTCACGGTACCCGCCGAGGCGTAGAGCAGCAGCAGCACGCAGGTGAGTGCGCTGGAGTGCAGCAGGGCTGCGTGCAAGTTGTGCCCGTAGAGGCGCAGGATGGGCCCCAGGGTGAGGCCCGCCAGGGCGCCCAGGGCGCTGCTGTAGCTGATGAGGTAGCCCGAGGCCCGCGGCCGCACTCCGAAGCGCTCCTCCAGCGCCAGGACGAAGTTGCTGTGGTACAGCATCACTGCCACCCCCATCAGCAGGCGCACGAGCAGGATGCTGCCCATCTCAGAGCACACCAGGCTTCGCCCGCCCAGCAAGGCTGCCCTGACCCCAGCCCAGTGCCCCGGAGGAGGGGTCTCTGTGGCCACGGGGCTGGCGGCTGCTCCCTGAGGCTCGAGGTTTGTCCTTCGGGACAGTGCCCGGTGCCTACACCGTCCCGGGCCATTCTCTGTCCTGTCGATTTTCGTGCCACTCCAAGGAAAGAGCCAAACGAGACCTGTTAGAAGAATGCACCTTGAGACTGTGCTCTTAACTGGAATACATCAGACACAGCCAAAATATCGCATGGCTCCACTTCGATGAGAAACCCGAAGTAGAAATACATCACAGAGCAAAATAAAACACAGACGATGGGAAACAGGGAGATGGATCTTCTGCAAATAGGAAGGGGACCAGGAGCTGGGGGGGGGAGCAGCGGTGGGGAGGGAAGGGCATGAAAAGAATTCCTCTGCGCCGTGTGGGTGCGTGCACCAAATCCTACAGTGAGAGCCATCTGTACACCGCACACACGCGCTCAGAAAAATGTTAAAAAAGAAAAAGGGAAAGCTGGCACAAGGCCTTCAAAGCGGGCTTAGTGTGTGCACCTCCAGGGCCTCCTGGGGAGGGAGTTGTCGTCTGCACGAGGCCATTAGTTTGCTTTGTACTAGATTTACTAGTCTGTACTTCTGATTCCAACTTTTCCACCATTCCCATGGCCCCACTGTGATGTTAGGATTCAGGCAGGTCCTTTTCAGTTTAAAAGAAAACAAAACAAAAACACCAAAACAATACACAAAACTCACTTTGTTCCTGGCTCTAAGTTTGTGGTGGTTTCCTAGACCCCATCACTTCATATTTAGCATCTTATTTATTTATTTATTTATTTATTTTTCCTGGTACAGGGGATCGAACTCACGACCTTGCACTTGCCAGGCAGGAGCTGTGCTGCTGAGCTAAATCCCCAGCCCCAGCATCTTATAAATTTAAACTTATATTTACTTCTTCATAAATTTCCCAATTCTCTGCCTACCCATCAAGTACCCATTTATCCATCCAATCATTTATCAACCCATCCAGCTATCCATCCACCCATCCATCCATCCATCCATCCCAACTTTCAACATTTACAGAGCACTGCCTACACACTAAGCCCCATGCTCAACACGAGGAAGCCACTGACAGGAAAGACAAAGCCTGCCAGCATCCTGTTCTTAAGGAACTAACCTAAGGAGGCTCAGACAAGCAGCCAGCAATCAGGTGCCAAGGGGAGGCCACACTGGGGAGACACAGGTACTGTGGACAGCCACAACAGCTCTCAGCTTGGCAGGGAGCAGGACAGTATCACAGGGAAGCGTCACTGGATCCTCCTCCAGCAGGGCCACGGTATGTTTCATAAGTCGTGCATGCAAAACCTCCAGGACACATAGTCATAAACCATGATGCAGCCTTAGCACAGCACTCTGCCCCTGCTCATCATCTTCCCCAGCCTCGCAGCCAGCACGCTCCTGCTTTTGCTGTTTTATTCACCCTGTGCTATCTGAGTAGAAAGACCTCTTGTCAGTACTCACTCTAAAACTTTTAAGTCTGAACTCCAATGGGTCAGTCTAGGACATCCTCTCGACACCTCCCTACTGGTCTCAGTCTTTCAGATTTAAAGGTTCAACATGGACCAGCGGCTGAACTCGGCCATTTCATGTTGTCTGCACCAACCTTGTCTGTGGGTGTGGTTTTTCCAAATAAATACAGAACAAGGACTTCAGTCAAGACAGAGAACCAACCACATGAGTGCGGATCAGGCCTTTTCTTCTATTCATACCTTTAAAGGGGCCCTTGGCACTACAGAGAATGTTATTAAAATCATAAGAGAATTATCACTGGTAGACTAAGAAAGGAATTAAAATAATTATAATGATAATGATGACCACTGCTGATGGCCCAGCAAGCCCCACTTTCCTAAGTAGGAAAAAGAAATCCCTGCTGCTTCATGCCCTTATAGGTGAAAATGCCTGCGGCTGAGTACTCTAAACTCACCCTAGTTTAAACCAGGGCAGAGCATGAAAGGGCCCTCGCCCTGGGCATCCAAACAAGGGCCCCACAATCTGATAGTTCCTGGTGGTGCTAATTTGAGTAAGAAACAGCCAGTGGGTTGGGTCAGCAGAGCTCTGGGTGTGGGTGACTGACTTCCTGAAGAGGAAAGACCCACTGTGGGTGTGGGTGGCACTGACCCAAAGGACTGTGCCTCGGATGGGTGAAACGGGGAAGGAGAAGGAAGCCCGGCTCCTGCTGCGGGAGGGCTCCAGCCTTCCCCGTGGCCTTTGGACGCTGGCCTCCAGCCTTCCAGTACAGACCCTTCGTCCTCCCCAGAGGGACTTGGAGGGGACTCTGCGGTGAGCTCCAGGCCTCTGACTTCCAACTGGATCCTTCAGTCCTCCAGCGTGCAGAGCGCCTCTTACCTTCTCCCACACCTGATTCTACAGGCAGCCACTGTGCGCCTACCTTGTACATCCTCCGTACCCCTTATATATTCTTTATAGTAAACCTGTTCCTCTAGTGATCCCTAACTAATTCATATGCTGACTTTGCATTTGGAATGATTTCACTCCAGGTGCCTTCCTTTACGTGGCCATGCCAGCTGATCATGTGCTTCAAATCATTTTCTCTAGATTTACGCCAATCCGTCAGGCCTGGATGAGGTCATAGTTTAAGATCCTGAAGAAAATTACCAACTAATCCTACAAGAGCTGAGATGAAACCCATGCGTTTCACTTTTCAAAGCTGAGATTCATGACCTGACACGGAATTCATGGCTCAGCACCACTCCCTCAATGTGCAAATTCAAAAGCTGCAGCAGTGGGATCTGATCCTGTACCAGGGAAGCGGATAGTGTGGGTTCTCTGTGTATGACGCCGCTTATCCGAGGGCTACCCATGCCCCAGTCTCTGCACAAAGATGAAAGATGTGTTAGGCACCCGCCCTGGTCTCCAAAGAGCCCACAGCCCAGGAAGGACACTTTGATTTATCAAATATGACTGAATAGCTGCCTGTTCTGGGCAGGGGTAGCAGCAATGAGTAGATCTGACAAAATCCTGGCCCTCTGCGGTGTGCATGCGTGTACGTGTGTGTCTGTTTGACAGGGCAACCAACAGAATTCAGTGGAAGTACTATGAAGAAAATTGAGTGATGTCAGGCAGACTGATCAGGCAAAGCCTACAGAATGATAAGAAGAAGAGAGAGCCCGGAAAAACAAGTGGAAAGAATATGGCAATGGAAGAAGCCAGGACAATGCCTTGGGTGGGAATCAGCTTGGGATGGAGGGGGTCGACCAGGAGGCCCGCGTGGCCAATGCATAGGAAGGGGCAGCAAGCAGGTGGCTGCCTGAGATGGTGCAGGCTATGTGGGGCACTGATGCTACATCCAGGAGGCCTTAAGGCAGGGGATGATACATTCTGTCTCTTTCTTTCTCTTTCTTTCTTTCTTTCTTTCTTTCTTTCTTTCTTTCTTTCTTTCTTTCTTTCTTCTTTCATAACTTGATCTAAAATTTTAATATACTCATAAGGTAAAGCAGATTTTCATTTAAATGAAGACTAAAATATGTTAGCATATAAAAGAATGAAAGTGGACCCTATTTTACACCATACACAAAAATAAACTCAAAATGAATTTAAAAAGAGAAACATGTAAGAACTGAAGCTATAAAATTCCCAGAAGAAAAAAGTGGGAAGAAGCCTCTTAAAATGGGCTTTGGCAGTAGTTTCTTGGATTTGAGCCTCAAAGCACAGGCAGCAAGAGCAAAAATAGACAATGGGAGGACGTCATACTAAAAAGCTTCTGCACCGTGTGGGAAGCAATTTGCAAAAGTGACCTGTGGGTGGGTATGTGATTTGCAAATCTGATCCACATCCGATAAAAACGTCAGCATCCAAAATATACAGGTACTCTACATAAAACATGACTAAAGAATGACCAAAGGTTGAAATAGACATTTCTCCCAGGGATGGACAACAGGTATTTCAGAAGATGCTCAACATCACCGACGAGGTAAATCAAATCTGCAGTAAATGCTCCCTCGTCCCCGTTAGGAGGGACATTAAAAAACAAAAAAGCTAAATGATGGCAAGGGTGTGAAGGAGCGTTAGGCCAGGTACAGGGACCTGGGGAAGAGCACAGGGCTTCTTCACTTCTGATCAATGACTCTGGTCATTCTAGAAACAACCAGAACAGAAGGAGACAAGCGTGGGTAGATTTCAGCCCAAGTTCTCCTCCTCAGACAGAACGCTGTCCCGTGACTACAAGCCACTCACCGGCATTGAGCAGGAAGACGGAGCAGCAGCTGAGCGCAGTGAGGCGGAAGCCGCCCTCCAGCTCAGCCAGGTACCCGCCCAGCACGGGGCCCAGGATGAAGCCCGCACTCGAGGCCGTGTTAAACCGGCCCAGCACCACGGGCCGCTCCTTCTCTACCACCAGGTCGGACAGCAGCGCCCTGGAGATGGAGAGGGTGTGCTTGAAAATACCTGCAAGGGGACAGAAAACACATTCTGGTCAGAAGGATGTCCCCTGGGATGCGGCGGCTCATCTCTGTCCCCGATGGAGCTATGACCTCCATCGTCTTTGAAATTCTAAGCCTGCAGGTGCCAGCCCTGATGGAGACCACTATGAAGCAGCTCTGAGCAAGACTTAAATTAACCAATCGGCTTTCCATGTTCACTTGTGAGTCACTAGTCCCTACTAAGGCCCGTGATGGTGGGCGAAGCCATGAGGCCTCAAAGGACAAGACAAGGCCACAGCTGAGGACTCTTGGCTCCAACTCCAGTTAACTAAAAGGAGACTGTAGCTGAAGGCTTCTCACTCCTGGATTAACTTAGTTCTCCTAAATTAACATAAGTATTACCTGGAGAACTCCGTAAAGGGTTTCCCAAGTCCTGCCCAGATTCCTGCATTTTCTTCAGTATCCCCCTCCTTCATCTAAAAACCTAATAAACAGGGCAGCCCAAGGGTCTGGGTCTTAACCTGGAGAATCTTAAATATTGTAAGAGAGTTGGACCCTCCTGGAACCCTATGATCACTGCAATTGTCTCACTTATTTAAGCCTTTGTGGTCCACTCATGTGGGAGACTGCGAGCCTGATCAGCCCGCAATAACTAAGGGTTATTAACCCGATACAGCCCACCAGAACTGGACTCTTAGACCAGTGCCACAGCTGTGGCAGGTGACCATATCCATCACCCTCGCATGCCTGCCTCCTGTGGTGACACCTGGCACTCCAGTCCTCTATTATCTGACAGCCATCATGGTGGCTTCCATCTGAGTTACTTCAGTCTCCATTCATCTACCGAGCAAACATGACTGCATGCCTCCTGTGTCCAGCACTGATCCCAACAAAGGCAGCTATTCCTGCCCTCCCACGGCCTGGGTTTCCTGGGGGATACACCGTGGGTCTCCCTGAAGGCGACAGAAGCTGTGGAGAGGAACAGAGCAGGGAAGACGACAAGATGTGAGAAAGATGGCAGTGTCTTCATCCAGCCAATGCCAACTGCCTTCTACTCTGCACAAGAGGCTGGCGGCTCAGCTGACCAACTTGCCTGAGAGCTGAGACACGACTTCATCTTCTTCCTAGTTCTGCGGATGTGCCCAACTCCTACACATACAAGTGAGTGGTCTGGATCACTCTGAACTGCACCACGCCACAGTCACCCCCATGGATCCCCTGCCAGTGGACTCGCTGTACACAGCACTATGCTGTCTGGACGGACACCTTATCCTGGGCCAATTCCCAAGATGCCCAGGATTTAAAACGTGATCTGCATGAGCTGGGCGGTCCAGCCCTTTCAGAAGCAAACTGACAAAACCCTGTAGGAGTGAGATTGACTCTTTCTAGATGCGTTTCCTCACATGTGCCAAGGGGCTGGGCTGGAAGGTGATGCCCACAACATCACGCAGGAATTTTGTGAAGGTTCTGACATCCTATCCATGTGGACTCACCCATGCCCGGGAGAGCCATGCTGTGAGCACCCTATGACCACAGACATGAGGGGTCTCTTGTCTCTCAAAGGATGGGAGGGGAAAACTAAGTAAGTGCAGGCCCATTTGCAGTCTGGACTCCAAGATCTGAATCCAAAACTGGCCATGGGCACGAGAAGCCTGATGACGCCCCTGGTCCCTCCATTCGTGGCCACCAAGCAGTGAGGAGGCAGCAGGGCGAGAAAGCATGAAAAGGGTGCGAAGCGCAGCTCTCCCTGTTTCACAGGACCAGGACACCAGTAAAACGGCCAGCACCATTCAACCACGCTCCTTTCGCATTACACTAGACTGCTTCGGTCCTGCCATACACCTCTGCCCAGCGGGTAACAAGCCGGGCTCGCTCACCTGTCTTTGGGAGGGTGAACAGTGTCCACCGCTGAATGGCAGGGTGTGCAATACACAACGACACTGCCAACTAAACGGCGGGCACACAGCAAACCTGACACTGATGCTCAAGGAGCAACTACTGCCTGGGGCTTGGGCATGGTGGCAGGTTTGTGAGGATCACAGGCCACATGTAAGCCAAGATGTTACAGTCAACCAAAAGGCCCAGGGTGTATTTTGGGGGGAGAACCCAGTTGACACTCCAAGTACATATATGCGTCACAGTGGTGGTGGGCTGATTGCAGACGAGCACCTCGTCGGCTGTTTGCTAAATGATGTACGCTCTATTCCCTCGAGGTGCCAAGCTAGACCAAGCAGCTAACTGAATTCGGGAAGATATTTAGCACTGCAGATCTGAGCGAGGGCCGGGGAGACTGCTGGTCTCCAGTGGGCAAGGTAAGGAAAGGAGCCTGGACACACTAGGCCTCTGCTGGGAAAGCATGAAGCACTTCCGCTGTCACTATCCTTCCCCATGGGACACCAGCGGCATTTCTGAATGATGAAATGTTTCAGGGAACACAGAGAATGAAGCGATTCGGCAGGGAGCAATGGTGAAGAGCAGTCCCGGAGCAGAAAGCCACCCAGGAAGTCTCTGCTGAAGTCAGCAGTTTGGGTGCAAAGCAAGAAGCTCACTTCACCCAGAGAGGGACGACACCATGGTGCTGGCCAAAGACGGCAACGAGTTCCTACTCTGGACGCAGAGCGGGCAGGAAGGAGGCGGGTCAGGTGCAGGCACAGCACTGCGTGACAGTCTCAGGAACTCCCAGCCCCGTGGTCAATGAGGTCTGCAGTGCTGGCCAAGGCAGCAGAGGCCAGGCCGAGGCACAGTACTCAGCCACTGCCCCTGCGGGGGACACGCTCTGGCCGTTACCCCATGAGGGCCACATTCTGTGGCAGCGGCTTTCCTCGGGCACCAGTGTCACCAGGGCTAGACTCAGGGTGGAGGCAGAGGCAGAGACAGAGGGGCCGGGACTCACCCACAGGGACTCGTGCCAGGGCGAACAGGAGCATGCTGCTGGAGGCTCCGAGGAGGAGGTAGCCCAGGGCGCTGAGCAGCAGGCACAGCAGCAGGGAGCAGCGCCTTCCGGCCACGTCGCTCCAGCAGCCCTGTGGAGAGACCAGGTCTGTGGTGCCGGCCACCACCCGGAAAGCCCCACAGCGGGAGCTCAGAGGAAACGGCTTGCTGTCCTCAGGGTGCAGCTCTGCTACGCCACTGGCCAAATACAACATCTGCTTGCCCTCCCGCAAGGTGATGGGGATCCCCCACACTTTTCTTGGGCTGAACAATGAAGTGTGATGAGCTGGTGGCTGGGGACAGGCGGGCTGGAGGGCAAGATGCCATCCAGGAAGGCTCGTCTCTGCCCTCCTTCCTTTATGCAACGATGCTTCTCAGAAACCACACTCAGCATTTAGAGATTTGCAAAACACTGAGAAGCGGAGAGTATTAGAAATCCTTGTGATCCCAAACTGACACAGGGAGCAGCTTAAAGACAATGGCCATAGGGGAATAAAAAGGATTTAGACCCTTCCATATGCCTCTTCCCAGGTGAGTGCAATCCTTGTGTACCAGCTAAAAAACTTTAAAGAAGAAAACGGTTATAGAGTTCTGTGTTGTAACCCTCTTCCACACTAACAGTGTGATCTGAGCATCACCACGTGTCATTAAGAGCCTGCCGCTGCTACCATTTTAAATCATGCCCTACATTGTACTATGTGCTAATACTAACAAGTCTTTTTATTAGATATTTGGTTCCCTGCAATTTGTCAAAGATATAAATAATGCTACAATAAGTACTTTCATAATAAACTCTGCAAACATCCTTGGAAATATCCTGAGAATAGAGCTCTAGTATTGGGGTTATTAGATTAAAAGACCGATCTATTTTTAGGCATTTGATAAATACTAACAAATTATTCTTTAAAAAAATCTGTATCTCAAAGTAGTGTAATTAGGAGAGCATCATTATTGTTCTTCGGTTTGAAGGAAATATAACTGCCTTAAAATATTATTTGCTAGGCCTAGGTGTGGTGGTGTACGCCTGAAATCCCAACACTCAGGAGGCTGAGGTAGGAAGACCACAGTGAGTTCAAGGCCAGCCTGGGCTACACAGTGAGACCCTGTCTCAGTAAAACAAAACATAAACAACAACAAAATACAACTAGCTAAACCTTGTGTGCACACAAATGGGCACAACCTGAGAGAGGGCAGGGGAAGGTCATAGGTGTTGTGTCACAACAAGGCACTGTGAATCCGGGCTGGGAGATGACAGAGACCACCTCCCATCCCCATCCTTAGGGACAATGGTGACAGCCACCTGGGCTCTAGTTCCCCCAGACCTTCTGGCCACCTCTCTGCCTCACTGAATGCCAACTGCACTGCTCACGCTCCTCCTCCTCTGTCCTGCTGTGCACGTGTGTGTGTGTGTGTGTGTGTGTGTGTGTGTGTGTGTGTGCACGTGTCCTTCTCAAGGACCCTGAAGATCTAAGATATAAACTGTCATTAACATTTTTCTCAGAAACATCAGAGGGGAAAGCCTCCAAAATATTGTCAGCCTTCCACAAATGTGACTGATCCTGGTCCCTAACTTTCTTTTCAGAGGATTTTGGAAATCTCTCCCACTTCTGAGTGGGGAGTCTTGGCTTCCTGCACTTCTGGGATGGTGACAGTACTGTCGACTGGCACCGTCGGGCTGTGCCTGCATGCCCACTCTGCGCTGAGCCGTCCCCCTGCACACCACGACCTCTCATTTCAGTGTCTCTACCTGCAAGCCAGGAATGTTATCGGCCTTGGACTCTTCTCCCTATCAATACCCAGAGCTTAATGTAAAGCAAGTCATTAGCAACACCCCATCACCCCGAGGCACATTACTATGAAAATAAAACAGAGGCTCCAGCAGCGCCTGACATACAATAAATACTTCATAAATGTTAGCTGTTGCCATCAAAATACTAACCACTAACCACATTCAACAGGGCACACTTTTTGCATAAACATTTCTTCTTAAAATATGTATTTTTATAAAACTTGTAATAACAAATATTGTAATAATTGAAATAATAAAACAGGAAATTGGAATTAGGTATTTCTCTATTTGAAGAACTTCCACGGAGGGTTTTCACTAAATTCCAAAATCAAGATACATGAAATAATGGGTTTTGCAGGCACAAATGGTCAATCTGAAGAAGCACGCAGGGTGAGGGGTGGCAAAGAAAATTCACAACATAAAACGCTGACCCTGTGCAGCAGCTTGGGTGAGTGCTGGTGACGAATACCGACCACTCACGCCCGGTCCTTATGGCAAGGCAGCCAGAGACCAGCAGGCAAGGGAGGAGCTCAAGGGACAAGATGCACCATGGCTTTGATGTTGTGATCCACACACACGGCAAGGACAGATGAGTGACTTTCCCTGCTCAGCAGAGGGCTCAGGAGATCCAGCCCAAGTTCTCCTCCTCAGGGTATGAAATACTGGAGCACCTGGTAACCCTGGCTGTCTGTCCACTGTCTCAGATCACTAAGGCAACGGCAGTGACTTCCAGCAAAAATACAGCATGAGTGAAGACAGCAGGGTCTGGTGCTGAAGCCAGGCGACGTACTCAGATTTCTGAAATTCTGTGATTCTTAATTTCCTTCTAGAAGAATGGAGATGCCAAATTATACTGCAGGGTTTTGCAGTTTAAATGAGAATAAAGCTGTTTTCTTTATGCAAATGGAACACAGGGAATACTTTTGTAAAAAAGGATAAATCTGGGTGAGGTGGTGCATGCCTGTAATCCCAGCACTCAGGAGACTGAACCAAGAGCATGGAAAGTTCTGTACCAGCCTGGACAATTAGCTGCTTAGGGAGACCCTGTCTCAAAAAGGACTGTGGAAATTGAATGAATGAATGAAAGAATAAATACATAAATAAGGGAGGTAGCTCTTTACTCATTTAGAAATTCAGTATGAAATCCAAATGAATTCTTCTTCAAAATAAATAAATAAATAAATAAATGTTTCTTACAGTGAAGCAACACCCAGGAAACATGGGTGGAGAATATGTCAACCACACTCACTACCTATGAGACCACCAGGCCAGCTTAATTCAGCCCAGTCACCAATGGTCAACCCATGTGACCAAAGTGACAACTGCGACCCTGTCTGGACCACTGGACACTGAGGTCTCCAGACCAGAGTGGTGGTAGCAGCCAGCAGGAGGGAGACAGAAGGGGGAGGTCAGGAAGGGTCTGCACTTCTCCCTGGGTGTGGTCAGAGACAGAGTGGCAGGGTCACCTTGGACCTCTGTTCTCCACGTGCAGATGTATGACCAACTACATGCATGGCTTCCGTGTGTTCACCTAAGTCTGGAAGATAAATAAGGCATGTGGTTCAGCACATGCAATCTCAAACAGAATCCTACAAACCTAAACGGATGTGACCACTGTCAGTTAAGTGAAGGAAGAAATAAAATTGGTAGTAACTTTTGTTGGTAATAACTTTCTTCTCCGGGAAGAAGTTAGTGTAGACTCATAAGAGGAACATGTTACAACTTGATAACCCTTCTCATTCAAGATCTACCCAACTCCCTGCATTCCTCAGAAGAAGACACCTACCTCTTTCAGGCCCCTGCTTTCTCACGGACCAAATAAAAAGAACGGGCAACAAGAGGATCCTGTTGATCTGATTGCGCTGTATATTCCAATCATCTGCTCATTATCACTGGTAAATCTCAAGCCCTCCATGGCTACAGCCACCAAACACGGTCCTCAGAGCAGTGGGTCTATGATCTCCAGATGTGTCAGGGACGGAAGATAACTTACCACCAGCGTGCTAGAGAAGAGCTGCAAAATGCCGTAGGAGGAGCCTGCCATAAACGAGAAAGGAAACAAACAAACAAGAACAACATCAGCAAAATCAGGTGAACCTGCCATAAAAATGAATCAAGGTGGTAACAATGACATGGAAATGAACAAACCAGAAAAGCAGAAGTTTTAGAAATGGGAGAGGCAATTGCTCCACATCCCTTTCTAGTTGGAAGAATGTAAGTAATATGACGTTTAATAGAAAGCCTTCAAAATAAAACAGAGGATAAAGACAAGGGGGAATAAAGGTGACGGTTGAGCCCAGGGCCCCTGAAGCAAGTCCCCCTTCTGCTCCATGAGAACTGTGAGGCTCTGACTTACAGTACAGGGGAGCAGACAGCTGACTCTTAGAAAACTTGTACTGAGACTTCAAATCTTAACACTGACTCATCTCTTACCATTTTACCATTTTATAAGAGGATGATCAAAATACATGGTGAATGTTCAAATTTTTAAAACGTTCTCATAGCAAGTAACACATTGCCAGAGTCCCCCTCAAAATCCTCCCCTTGCTTTGAATACATGTATCTCACCGTTCTTGCCATTTTCTGAAGGAGTTTTATCTTGTTTCTCAAGTGTCTTTATGAGGTGTGAACAAAATCGTCCATCTTATTTACTGGATCGGGCACTGTGCAGCTTCTGGCTCTTCCCAAAGTCAGAGTGACCATGAAAAGTCAACATTTTCAATGGATTCAGGACATCAAGGCAGCCAAGACGGCATAGGTAAAGACACTCACAAAGGAGGACTTCCAGAACTGCTACAGAAAGTGTCAAGAACAATGGGATATGTGTGTTCCAAGCAAGAGGAGTATTTTGAGGGGTATTAATGCAGTGTGTCTTTTCCTGAAATACATTTTTTCTCAAAAATTAAAACACTCACTTCATTTTTGATCATACCACATATAACTGCATTAATTTTATAAAGAAATTACAGAATTCTTTTACCTCTATTATCATGTAGTATGTCCCGCTGCTTTTCCTAGAAATCTCCATACTGTTAGAAGTCTAGTACAATTTAAAATACATTTCTCAATCAATCATGGCATGGACTTGGATTTAACAAAGGCAATATACAGAACTATCACACAACATCCAGCTCATGAATGATCAAGAGCTATTAGGCTAAGGATTTCTCATTAAGTAGCACTTTCCTAAACCTGAACTCCTGCCTCATTTGTAAAGTGATGACTTTCAGAGAGAAACCTAGAGGTACCCACAGTCCTCTGGGATGTGGTTCTGGTGGTACAGGAAGCTTGTGACCGATTTTCCAGGCTCAGCCCAAGCTTCCCCTGCACATGTGAGCTCTGTGGATTAAGTTTCTGGTGCTGACCATCAGGGAATGGGTTCCCGTAGGCTGGGGCCAGCCCTACCCTTCAGCGCACACAGCCAGCTACCCTGGGGCCAGAGTCAGTCCTGGTCACATTAGTGGCAGTACGGGGTGTGTGAATAACACTCAAATCCAAAACCTTTCTGAATATGGGCAGCCCAGAGTACAGAGGAATTACATTTGCTCCAGCATAATATTAAAAACTACTTTAGAAATTCATTTTTTCTTGTTTGCCACTTGCCTTTGGACATGATTTGGCGATAAAGACTGAGTCGTTTGAGGTGTTTAGAAGTCAGTGCTCTGCAGCTGATCAGAGCTGCCCACTTACCTACGATGCCAGCCACAGTAGGACTTGCTCCAAGTGACTTGGCATGAAGGTCCAACAAAGGGATGACCATGCTGACCCCAAATAAATCCTAAGAGGAAACAAACGAGGATGGCTTGGGTTAGAAGCTGTGGCCTGAGAATTTTTAAAGTGGTGGTCCTGAAATTATAAACTCATTTCCAAAATAAAGCCAGTATCTAACTTCTTCAGCAAACAAACAAATGGCAATTGAATTCCAGAGTAATCCATTCTCATCTAGGTAAGGCCAGGAGGGCCCAAAAGAAATGTGCCATGATGGATGTGATGGGTGATACACTGTGTCAACTTGGGGAGTCTAGAGGTTTGGCTAAGTGGTTCAGCAGTTCCGCATGCTGGGGTGACAAGAACATGACCTTACCCTTGTGAGATGTTGTTCACTGTGTCAATTTGAGAAATTTAGAAGGTTAACTATGTGACTCAGCAGGGAGCCAGGGCGCTTATTTTGTATTCATCCTGAGCCTGTGCAAGAGGCAGGCATGCAGAAGCTATGAGTGTAGAGGACCACCCCCACCTCCCCAGAGCGGGTAGACTGCATAAAAAAGGAATTGAGGAAGGACTGGCTGCTGGTTCTTTGGAGGAGCTCTGGTCTTCGCCTTCTGCTTGGTCATCTTCTGTCTTCCGGTGCAGACTGTTCGGCTTCTGCCTGGGACTCTTCAGCCTTCTGGTGTAGGCTCTCTGGCCTTCGTCGCAGATTCTTCAGCGTTTTGCCGCAGACCCATCAGCCTCCTGATACGGACTTGCATGGACACTGCAGCGAGCTCCCGGCCCGGGGCTGGGCTCTTCAATCTCCAGCGTGCAGACACCCTCTGCACGCTTCCTCATTCAACTCTGTGGCTCATCATTGTAAGGCAAACTTGTAATTTCTTGTACATTTGTATATCTTGTGTTGTATGTTTCTCTAGTAAACCCTGACTGATAACAATGGACACCACAGGTAAATGCCTGGATTACCCGGCCCAGATTCAATTTCACCTCTAGCTTCTTCATAACTGAGCCTTAAAATTCACGACAGGCAGGCAACATAAGTCCCTCACATGAAAACAAAAATCAAATAAAAAGAAGACCCACAAATGCCGAACTAGAAAAAAAGGCGACAGATTGGTCCATATTTATCGGTGAAGCAGTATTTGCTGGAAGATAAAGAGTTTCCTTCTGGACTTAGAGAAGGCTACTAGCATGCTAGAACCTGCAGTCTGTGGCCTACAGGTAGCGGTTGAGAAGAAAGCCTCAGGACAGCAGCAAAAACAGCGCCAGGGCACTCGTGTTTTACAAACAAGTCTGAGAAAGTGCATCGGCTTTGGGTCAGACAGACTGTCTCTGCCCCAGCTCCATCACTTAGTCACCGTGGCCTTGGAGAGGTCTGTGTAACACCGGTCCCAGCACAATCACCTGTAGAGAAGAGGTCTAATCACACCTGCCTACTCACAGAATGCCTGACAGAGCCCGGCACACAGGGAGCTCTAACATCTCCCTCCTGTCTTGCACCCTGGGGTAAGAATGGACCCTGGGACGGACTCGGGGCTGCTAAGATGACCATCAGTTTTCCTTTAGTTCATTCTTGTCCTTGCCTCACTTGGCTGCCTGCTGCGACGGGCTCAGGGGAAGAGAGACATTTATACACACAGTTTTCCCTATACTCAGCCAAACACGGGTTGATTTGAAAGAAACAGCATGCATGAAAAACACGTTCTTGACACCCACAGTGAATCTTTTGCTTCCTCATCCAGCCTGTGTATTTGCATAACAGAGGGCCAGTGGCCCCGGTTCTGTGTGCCCAGCACTTTGGTGAAATACGCTTTCTTCATAAGCTTAACTATTCATCCAACAGAGGGAGGGCACGGGGCCTGCCTCTGTGCTCCTCCTCCCCGGCTGCTGGGCGTCCTGACTCCTGATTCTGGGGAAGCGGCAGCCTGAGGGGAAGCTGCGGGTCCCGGTGCCATCAACGTGATCTTCAAGGCCTCCCACTGACATCTCATCTAACCAGCTCTTCTTGCCCAAAGAGGAAACCGTGCTGGGCGCTCCTTTCAGCTCTGTCCTACCTTGGGTTAGTTCACAAGCGGAGCTAACTGTACAGCACCAGGCCCAGCCCGGAGAGGGAGGAGTGAGGCGGGGGATCAAGCCCCTGCGGATGATGGCCTAGGACACAAACTTCCTAGTAAGACCGCAACATCTCTGGTGCAGGAGCTGCATCTGACAGTCCTGGAGCTCCAGGGCGCCTAAGACGAGGGAGGTCCGGAGTGCGTGATTGTGACTAATGGATGCACCAATGGACGGACGACTGACCCTGCTACACACTAGACTTTCCAGTCCACAGTGGAAATAACTTCTGGAGTGAACCGGGACACGCGCGCGCGCGCGCGCACACACACACACACACACACCCAGAGTGAAACAACCGGAACCCGTATTGTGCAACATACACGCGCTGCGCGGAAAGGCGGGCGTGCACAGGCGCACCGCGCCAGCCAGGAAGGCCAGGGAGGACGCGCCCTTCGCTCAGGTGCGGCTCCCCGGCCACGGCCCCGGCCGCGCAGGGCGGAGGCGGCGCAG